TGTATATTGGGCAGAAACGTATGCAGCTAGGCTGCCTAGTAGGCATTTTAAAGTTTTTTGATAAACAGTGTCACTCAGCAACAATATATTCCTAGTTCGCCTTTTTAGATTCTACCCAGAACCTGGTGACTCATTAGACACATATCCTGTACTTTTTGTAGATCAAAAGGAAGTCAATGAGGCGAGGAAGAGACAGAAGAGATTAGCAGCAAACATTTAGATTCATGAAAACTCTGCTTAATTGCCATAGCATTATGTAAATTCTTGATTCCTGCTATTTCTTCCATTTTAAATAATCAGAGGCTGTTTATTAATTACATTTGGACAGATCTGGTTTTAATTCTGGCTGTACTACTTAGTAACTGAATTACTTTGGGCAAGTGATTTTACCTGAGATTTGTTTTTTCCTATCTGTAAAGCGGGATGCAACAGGGCTATTTAGCAGAAATTTTCCTCCCTCTTGCCTCCTTTGAGATCTTTAGAATCTTCCTACTTACGCAGAAGCAACCACAGACAAGCCTCACTATGTGGAGAAATGGCTATAGGTAAACCTTACATTTCTTACTCTGCAGACTGGTCATAGTTTGGATGGATCAATTAAATAAGCACTTTTGGAACTTCCTTGAAGGAAAAGGACTGATTCCCTAACTCCTTTGATTAGGGTGGCCACAAAGAGACAAACGTAGAGAGGTGTGGAGTGAGGGGGAGCAGGAAGGAGGACAGCAATGCTCCTGATGCAAGAGGCAGCAGCAGAGGCTGAGGCTGGAACAAGTCTCGAGCTGGGCCTTGAGAACCTAAACCCTTGAGGCTCAGGCCTTTAGTGGGGTGAAGCCTTCTCTAGGGAGCGCACCACAGGGAGACGCCTTGCCTTGAAGAGCCCTTGTAAGTGGTAAAGGGCTCTGCTCTAGGACCAGACTCTCTGGCTAATTCACACTGGGTATACCTCTGTGTTTAAAGGGAATGAAGCTGAAACCTAGAAAGCACAGCTAGACTTTTAAACTCTCTGTTTTTATCTATTTGTATACCAAACTACAAAGAGCCACTTCAGTTTACAGAAAAAAATTACTACATGAGACAAGGTTTATAAAATCTTTCAGCACTCAGGACTTAGTAAATATCTAAAAATGAGAGAGAATCATTTCCATAGAGAGGGAGGCTCAGAAACTGCACTTTTGATTCTAATTAGTGAAGCTAAGTAGTGGAAGAGGAGTTGTTGGGATATTCTGAACTTAGTCCATGGCAGCCACAGCAGAGCCTGACAGTATGATATGATTTTCCTTGCTGGGTTTCAAGTTCAAAAGTCAACCTCCTATGGATGAAAGGGCTTGGAGAATGCTCTGTTAATCTGTCCTGAAGTTCAGTCTTCAAAAATATTAGCCCAAGCCCTGGCTAGGTGGCTCAGTTGGTTGGAGCACTGTCCTGTACGCCAAAAGGACACAGGTTCGATTCCCAGTCAGGGCACACATCTAGGTTGTAGGTTTGATCCCCAATTAGAGCATGTACGGAAAGCAACCGATCAATGTTTTTCTCTCACATCAATGTATTTTTTTCTCTCTCTCTCAACTCAATAAACATGTCCTTGATTGAGGATTAAAAAAATTAGCCCTGATATAAATTTGTGACATAAAGACGATAAAAAAATTTTTTTCAGGTTCCTCTATAGACCTGTTTAGTGAAGGGAGCAACAAGACATTTAGTCACCTCTGCAAGGACAGGTTCCACTGGAAGCATATAAAAAGTCTACTTAACCTAGATTAGGGGGCCAAGAGAGCTGTTCATGAGGAAGTGATGTCTAAGTTGAAATAGAGATACCTTGGCAAAGGGAGCTTGGAAGGAACAGAGTGCATAAGGGAAAACCAAGGTACTTCTGTTTGGCTGGAGAATGAAGTGTGAACTGGAGCAGTGATAACTAGGAAATAGAAAGACACTAGACTCTGAAGGCCCTTCTACAAAGAGTGACCATATAATTTATTGCACAAACTGAGACACTTCTGGGAATGAAATGAGACAATATTACTAACTATATGAACAAAAGGAGTATATCAGGGCCGTCCTGAGCAAACTGGAACTTATGGTCACCCTATTTATAAGGCATGTTCAGGTGCTTAAACCTCCAGTGAAAGCATAGATTGGATATCTTCTGTTTACCTTATACATTTTGCCTGAGTGGCTTCATCCATACCTTTGCCTTTACTTGCTCATTTCACAAATATTCGTCCAGGATGCACTTCTGGGCACTGTGGTTACTAAGAAGAAAAGACACAGTGTCCTCAAGCTCTGTCTAAAGACATACAGCCAAAGAAACAATTCTAATACATTTATACAATTTTAGCCCTGGTCTCTCCTTTCAGCTCTAAACTCATATGTGTTATTTTCACTGAGATTGCAAAATACAGATCTGAAACAGAACTTTTGTTTTCCCCCAAATCTCTTTTCCTTCAGCCGGCTTCCACTTTCCCCACATGATCTTATCCTTGATATCACTCTCCATTACATGCTGAAGGCAAAAACCCAGAAAAATGCTACCTTAATCAGTGCTATCCTTCTTACTGTGCATTTTCATTTCTTTACATCTTTCTTAAGCACAATGACTAAACTGGGGCTTAGAATTTTAATGAAGGCCTAACATCAATTAAAGAAGGATAATTTCAGGTGCCTGAACACTATGTTTGTAATAAATAGATCCCAGTATTGTATGGGACTGTATTTTCCACAATACTATATTGATAACCCATATTCAGTTTGTTGACAGCTACAACATCCATATCTGGATATATGCCCTAGACAGTCTCAAAAAAATTCAGGTTAGCCCTGACCAGTAAGGCTCAGTTAGTTGGAGTGTGGTCCCATAGACCATATGATTGCAGGTTCGATTCCAAGTCAGGGCACATATGCGGGCTGAGGATTCATCCCCTGGTTGCAGCGTATACAAGAAGGCAACCAAGTCGATGTGTCTCTCTTGCATTGCTCTTTCCCTCCATTCTGTCCTCCTCCCTTCCTGTCTCTATAAAAGCAGTGAAAAAATGTCCTAGTGTGAGGATAAAAAAAAAAAAATTGTTTAGGTAAAAAAGACATGAAGATAAGTCCTAAGTGTTTGACCCTATCTTCCCTTTGTGGAGAATGTGAAAACAGATGTAAAGATGTAAAGGTGTAAGTGAAACACTAATGTTAATAAACCATCCATTGAACAACTGCCATGTAAAATGATAATTTATGCTTTAAAGGGCAATTTTAATGTTTCTACCATCTATTCTCTATACAGCTTCCAGAGTAATCATTCTAAAGCAAATCTGATTACTTTTTGGCTCTCAACACTTCCATGGTATCCTATCATATTCCAATAAGATCCAAGGTCCTACCACGGCTTATCAGATGACACATGATCTGGCTTCTGCCTGTTTCCCAACTTATTTCTCTAACTGGCTGTGCTTCAGCCACACTGGTCTCATTGCCTCATCACCAACATGCCAACCAAGTCCTTATCCTAGGGCCACTGCAATGGCCATTTCTCTTCTCCTAGAATAGACTCCCTCTAGAAATCCACATAGCTGCATCCCTCATTGAGTTAGATTTCTGCCTCTGTGCCCTTACGAAGCCTTGTCTGTCCTCTCTAAAAACGCTTCCCCACATCACTCATCCCTTTATCCTGATTTTCTTCCATAGAATTTGCCACATTACTGGGAATTATCTAATATTTAGTAATATATTGTTATTGCTTATTGTCAACTTCCCCCGCTATTATAAGAAGCAAATTGTTTTGTTCACTCCTGAATTCCCAGCACCTAGAACCATGTCTGCTCATTCAATATTTGTTGAATGAATAAGCAAGTTTTCAGGATACATCGAATGTAAAACTAGTCCATATTTATTGATACATAGGAAAATGTCTGTGAAGTAGACAGCAAAATGTTAACGTTTTTTAAAAAACATGGTGGGAGCTGTTTTTCACATTATTTCTGCTCATGTGAATTTTCTGATTTTTTTAAATGAATGTTTTCTCATATACTAAAAAATTAATTAAAAAACCACATAGGCAGAAAGTGTAAATGAATTCTAAAAGAGAATGGACCAATTTATGAAAGACAGACTTTGAAACACAGGTAATAGCATAGTGGTTAAGGTAGACCAGTCGGAATCCCCTTTGCCAACGCTTTCTAGCAATGTGATCCCAAGTTATTTATAAGCCAGAATCTAAATGTCCTCAGCTGGAAAAAGGGGGATAATAATAGAGTCTACCTCATAAGGTTGTTTTTGAAGATTAAATGAGACCATGTATGTAACCTCCTTTGTACAATGTCTGGCATGCAATAAATAACTGACATATAACAGCTATTATAATAATCAGTAGTAATAAGAGTTGGGACATACCTAGCCCTCAAGACTGACATCAGAGTGGACCACCACATCGTCTCATCATTGCCCCTCAGTTTGGGCCTCTGAAGCCCAAAGAGGGGATGGTTCTTTCCAAAGGAGGTAATTTCGACGGTCCTGAAGCATCTGAATATAGCGTACCCTGTCACCCCTAAACCATTCAGTCTGGTTAATCCATGAGCAGCACTTCAGCACCCGGATTCCAGGAATGGCCAATGAGTCCCTTGGCCTCGTTTTCCTTTGCTGCGACAGAGGTGAGAATGTGAAATACACAAAAGCAGGACAGTACCGGTCCGCCGCGTCCCGCCTCACGGCATCCCGGAGGGGATCAAACAGCACCACGGCGGGGCAAACCTCCGGTGACCCGCAACGCACCTCACGGGAAAAGTGATTATTGGTCGGACTCAATGTCTGGCAAGCTGTTCACCCGCATCCTCCCAGGCCTCTGCCAGAGGGCAGCAGCGGCACGCGGCGAGGACCCGGCGGAGGCCGAGAGAAATGCGGTGGGCGCGCCACACACGGCGAGGCCACAGGGGCCGGGGAGGGAAAGGGGTGGAGACGACGGGCAAACGGCACGCGGCAGGGCCACGAAGGGAAAGGGCGAGCTCGCGCTTGCGCCGCTCGGGAGCGAGCGCGCACACCCAGGGACGCGCACGTGGCTGGCTGCTTCTCGGAGCGGAGGAGGGGTTCACGGTGAGGTGAGGCTCCAGGCGCTGCAGGGCGGACGGCGGCGGGGCTCGAGCCTCTCTAGAAGCACGAGGAAGAAGTGGGGATCACGAGGTGCGGCGGGGATCGGGGGCAGGCTGTAATCCCGGGCGGCGGGAGGCGTCGGGAGGCGTCGGGCCACGTCGCACTCTGAGGGAGGGCGGGGCATGACCCCTTGGCCCCGCCCCGCGACGGGCCAGGCGCCTCCAGCGCTCGGGGCGGCTCCGTGCTGTCCTAGCTGATGCATTCCTCTTGGTGCAGTGCAACGTACAGCTGTGCTAGCAGCAGCCACTATGTCTTAACTCTGTCGGCGTTTCCCATTGAGGTTTCAGTTAGGCCTTCCACAGTAGGAATTTAAGCTTCCACCTAGAGCGGAGGCTGACCGAGGCTCGGGTAAAATGACTTCCCCAAGGTCTTACAGCTAGTAAGGAACTAAGGGAGGATTTAAACCTTGTGAAAACTCCACATCCTGCACTTGTCCTCTTCACACAGAAAGCGGTCCTTCACATGCCTTCCGTCCTCCCAGTAACATCTTTGAATTTGGTAAATATTAATTTGGAGCTAGCACCCATCCTTTCATGGATGTTAATTGCAATTTTGTGCTTTTGAGGAGGAGTGTTTATCAGACTGTTTATACATCCTCAACTTGACCCTGTCTAGTGACCTCTGTTGAAATGGCGCTGCTATTTACTACCTGTGAGACAGTGTACAAGTAACAATCTTTCAGGGCATCCTTTCCTTCTTTGAAAAAGCGGCATACCTCAGAGAGTTCAAAGAGATAATCAGCATACAGTGGTACCACAGTATCTGGCATAGGAGAAAAGTTCAATAAATGTTGGTCATTATCTTATTATCGAGTATAACCCTTGCTAAACGCATTTTTTTTAAAGACTAACTTTTCCCGAGACTAGGTCAGAGGGACACCGACCCTACCCCAGCCCACCCCTAAAAAGACAAGTTCATTGACAGCCAGGTTTTTCCTAGTGTTGATACACTTAATGATGAGTTATTCCCCAAGCTAAAAATATCCTATGAAAGAAGTCACTCCAGGAAAACTAAAGATGAATTAACTTGAGTTATTTCTGTGTGCTTGGTGTCTTTAAGGCTTACAAATTTGTATTGGATGTAGTCCCTGCTTTTATATTTTATTAGAAAATATGCATGCAGAAATAATTCTCATGAATTAGAATGTGAAAAATGCCAGAATAGAGGTAGGTAAAAACTATGAGAGTATAGAAGAAGGAAGGATGTTTTCTTAGCTTAGTGTGAAATACTTCATTTCTGTCTTCAAGAAAAATACTTTGCACATTGGACATAAGTATTAAATATTTATTCAAACAGTAAATTAGTAAACATATATTGTAATAGGTAGGATTCTTTGGTTTCTAGTAACTGAACTCATTTATATTGAAGTATTGTTGGAAAGATAAAGAAATGAGGGGAAAAGCTAAGCAATTTGGCCACCCTTGGGGTTAGGGATCTCAACAGCCAGAGCTTATGGACCAAATGTTTTGACTGGTGAATGACTGCACTCCAATTGCCATCTGTCCTCGTATGTCTCAGTCATGATTCAGATTTCTCTAAGAAGAGATCCAGTTGCTTTAGCTGGGGTAGAAGATGGAGTATTGCAATTGGCAACCCCTCTGAACCATATGAAATGCCCGAGAGTCAGTTTCCCAAAGAAAGGGATTAAGTAGAGAAGTGCTGCTGGGCAGAGAAAATCAACAGTTGTTTATTTATGTTGTATATGAGCCATGTAGCTTTTGCAGAGGGCTTACTATGGGCCAGGCACCACAATACATTATTTATATGGATTTTGATATTTAATCCTCACAGCACCTCTGGAAGTTAGATACTATTATAATCATATCCATTTTACAGAGAGGGAAACAGGCTTATAGAAAGAAAATATTTGCTTAATGTTACAAAGCTAAGTGTAATAGAGTTGAGTGCATGTCACTGTCTTCCCTTTATCTTGTCCCTTTGAATTATTTCCTGACCCATGTGCCACTTCTGTTTGTTCATAGGGGCTCATCAAGCTTTGACATTTGTGCTGGCCAGTTCTGAAATCTCCTTTAAGGGCACTGCATTGACGAAGATCAAAGCAGAAGTCTTTGCCAATTAAGGAATGGACCGTTTGGGTTCCTTTAGCAGTAAGTACTGTGTGAACAAATCTCAGATGAATAGTAACAGCAAACTGAAGTGGAATTTGGTCAAAGTAGAAAAATAAGCACTATGAAATTAAAGCCCTATGAATCTGATCCTAAAGGAATAAGATTATCAACTCAAAATAAAATCAGTCAATATTTATTGATTGCCCACTGCACACATAACACAGACATATCACCCTAGGTCTTATAAGAAAACTAAGGTCAGATGGACCAGGCATAGTACAATTAACCTGCATTTAGATTTTAAAAAGCAGTTGGATTTCTCTTTAGAATGAATAACATATTTGTCATTCCTTGATAAGAAGTAATATCAGTGGTAGAATAAAGGAAATACCCTTCTCCCCCTTTTAGGTAGAACTTGGTGTTCTAAGAGTACACCACATATAATAATAGTATACAGAATTATAGTATATGTGTGAAATAAATTCAGGCAGCCACACTATGGAGAAGAAAAAATATATATATATATATGTATACTGCTTTTCCTTTGATTCTCAAGATAAGAGATTTGGCAGAAATAGAAATCCGTTGTTAAATGTTAGTAGTGTGCCAATGAGAAGAATCAGAGTGCTACTTTTGGGGTGTTGTTTTCTCTAAAGCAGTTTCTTAAAGGGGCTCTAATTTACTCTCTCATCACACTCTCTATATGCATTTGGTACAGAACAGAGTCTTCACACATCAGTTCAAATCTCTCATTTTGCACCTAAAAGAGTTGTCCCAATGCTGGGAGTGAAAATTGAAACCACTCCCTCCCCTTTTTAAAAATAACTTCAAACTTTTTATTTGGAAATAGTTTCAAACTTACAGGAAAGTGGGAAGGTGGTCTTAAGAATAGTACAAAGAATAACCCATACACCTTTTGTTAATTTTTTTACTCCATTTGTGTGCATTGTCTCTTTCCCTTTTCTTCTCCATTAATATATATATATTATACACTGATTTATTTATATATATATATATATATACACACATATTTATAGGTAGACATATGCACCCCAGATTTTCTTTTTGAATCATTTGAGGATAAGAGACATACAGTAAGTCCTCAATGTCATTGATAGATTCTTGGAAACTGCAACTTTAAACAAAATGAAATAAAACCGATGTTACCATAGGCTAGTTGATATAAATAAGAGTTAAATTCCTATGGCATATTTCTGGTCACAAAAATATCATTAAACTTCTAACTAAAGACCCCAGATACTTCTAATACTAAACATTGAAATAAATGTGATCTATACATACATTTAAGAAAGATGAATAAAAACTAAATCATCCCTTTCCAACCTACTTATTCCTGTTCATGGTCAAGAGTAGCCAGAGCTTATCCCAGCAGCTCGGGGTGCAAGGCAGGGACCAACCCTAGAAAGAATACCACTCCCATTGAAGAGTATACTCACATACTCACAGTGGGAGAATTTAGACATTCCAGTTCACCTAACGTATACATCTTTGGGATGTAGGAGGAAACCAGAGCCACCAGGGAAAAACTGATGCAGATGTAGGGAGCATGTGCAAATTCTACATGGACAGTGGCCCTGACTGGGAATCAATTTTTTTCATCAACATTATAACAAAATGACATTGAACAAATAAACAAAACATTATACTAGGGCATGCTAAATATCATAGCCCTTTATTCCTAAGTATTTTAGTGTTTATTTCCTAAGAATAGGGATGTTTTATTATATAACCTCAGTAGAGTTGTCAACTTTAATAAATTTAACATTGATAAAATACTTTTATCTAACCTACTATGTGTATTCTATTTTTGTCAGCCTATTCAATAGTGTCCTTTATGGTGTTTTCCTTCCAGTATATGATAAAGTTGGGTCAGGTCTTGTATTAAGTTGCTATGTCTCTTTATCCTCCTTTAAACTGAAACATTTGCACAGCCTTTGTCTTGATGACTTTGACACATCTGAATAATACAGCCCTCCCCCCCTCCACTTTTTAAAATATGGGTTTCTCTTTTGGGGTTTGTCTGGTCTTGCTCTATACCTCATTGGTGATAAGAAATTTTTTAAAAATATTTTATTTACCTATTTTTGGAGAGCGTAGAGTCGGGGGAGAAAGAGAGGAAGGGAAACATCAACGTGTGAGAGAAACAGCAATCAGTTGCCTTTTAAATGCCCCTAACTAGGGACCTGGCCCACAACCCAGGCATGTGCCCTGACTGGGAATCGAACTGGTAACCTTTTGGTCTGCAGGTCAGCAATCAGTCCACTGAGCTATACCAGCCAGGGCTGGTGATGTGAAATCTGAAAACCCAGGCAAGGTGTCTCAGTTCTCTGCTGTATAATTTCTATTTTTTCCCTTGCATATGTAATATGCAACTCACAGGGAGATGCTTTCAGGCGATACAATACTCTGCTCATCAAAATTCTTTCCTAGGTTTAGCATCCATTGATGATTTTTGCCTGATCCAATCTTGACTGTGATAGTTGAAAAATTATGATTTCCCTGCACCCCCACTCTCACATCCAGCACTGTCCACATTAACTGGTTGGCCCTTAGTATTCTACTCTAATGAAGAGACTGCCTGTGTCTTTTAATGTATATGTTTGTTTATTATAAGTATGACCACATGAATTCTTATTTTTTCAGTGGTTTATTATTTTGGTTCTGAGATTGTCCCATTTTGACCATTGTGAGTCCCTTCAAGCTGGCTCCTGCATCCTTCTGACATACCCTCCCCCAATCACTTTTTTGAGCATCTCCCAACTTCTTGGCATGGCATGTACCAGGTGCATCTTGTACTTCCACCCCAAACTTGAAAGGAGCCCTGGTTCCTTTTAGAGAGGAATGACATTAAAGACCAAGATCTGGTCATTGCTCATTGCTCATAGAGTATCTTTGTATTTTGGCCCACAGAGCTAGGAAATATGTGTGCATATATGGTCTATACACATATACCTATATATACACACACATATTCACTCATACAGATCCTTTTTTAAAGAAACCATTTGTTTACATGGATACCTCTAATTCATCTTCATAGGCTTTTTCTTGATTCCCCCCTGTTCTTTATTTGTACGTCCTTTCCTCAATAAGAACTCTGGCTCCCAACATTAGCATATTTACTCATTTGCTCTGTCCTTCTTTTTTTTTTTTTTTTTTATTGATTTGAGAGAAAGAGAGAGAGAGATTGATTTTCGTTGTTCCTCTTTGTTATGCATTCATTGGTTGATTTTTGTGTGTGCCCTGACCAGGGATTGAACATGCCATCTTGGTGTATCCAGATGATGCTCTCACCAACTGAGCTACCCTGACAGGTCTATTCTGTCTTTTAATACATCCAAAATTATTTCAGAATTGCTCTGCACATATCACTACATAAAACAAACCTACTTCAACAAGTTTGGGATTTGTTTGTAATTCTCCCCTTCTTCACCCAAGACTGAAGGTATACTGTTAAATGTTTGTAAGTTACTTGGATTGGTTCTTCTTTTTATTCCTCTTCAGTGTGGTTATAGTATTCTTTTTAAATACTGGGTTCATCTGTTCATTCTGCTCTCAGTTTTCCCTTCCCATATTTCAATTTTTTTTTAAATTTGTAGAATATGAATATGCTTCTAAAAATCAAAACTACACAAAAAGACATATTTAGAGAAGGAGCACTTCTTCCTGTATATTTTCTACTCCATTCCATTCTCCTTCCCCTAATCCTTTGTAGGTATTAACTTTATTGTTTTTAAGTTTATCTTTCCTTTTATTCCCCCCCTTCCTAATTTCTCACAGGGAAGATAGAATACCATATATGCTCTTTTTCACTTTGGTTTGTTTCACATAATAATATCTCCTGGAAATAGTATATTAGTTTATAGAGATTGTTCTCATTCTTTTTTTATAGTTGCATGCGACTCCATCATTTGGGTGTACCACAGTTTGTTCAGCTACTCCAATGCTTAGATAGCTAAGTGGTATTTTGCAATTGCAAATGAAGTTCAAATGCATAACCTTGGGCATATATATTTTTGTATTGTAGGCTATGTATATTCATGATAAATTCCTAGAAGTGGAATTACTGGGTCAAAAAATAAATGGATGCATTAATTTTATTTAGATACAGCTAAATTCTCCTCTACAAGAATTGTGCCATTTTGCATTCCTATCAACAATGTGTGAGAATGACTATCTCCCCACAGCCTTACTAAGAAAGGATATTATCAGGCTTTTGAATTTTTGCCCATTGATTAGGTAAGAAGTAATAGCTCAGTGTAGATTTCTCTTAATTTTGAGTGAAGTTGAGTATCTTTTCATATATTTAAGGGTCATTTTTATATCTTTTTTCTAAATATCTCCTTATGGTTTTTGCAGTAGAATTTTTGGTCTTTTTATTCTTCTCAATTTTTAAAAGCTTTTTGTAATATTAGGGATTTTAGCCCTTCATGGTATGTTAGCAAAAATTTTCTTCCAGTTTATTAGCCTTTTTTTTACTTTGGTTCTCGTGTTTTTGTTTGTTGGCTTTGTTTATACACTCAAATTTATTAACCTTTTATTGCCCTTAGATTTTAATTAATAGTAAAAAAAAAGCGTTTCCCTACTTGTAGGTTTTACAAAAGTTCTGGAATACCTTTGTGAAGGACACTTTGACTATATGTATCAAAAACCATCTGTACATGCAACAGTTTTAGTTCTAGGAAAATACATATCCTGAGGAACAAAATGTGGAAAATTATATAAAAGAACATTGATCTCAGCATTCTTTATAATAGTAAGGAATTAGAAACAGCATGAATGTCCACCAGTAAGGAACTATTTAAATTAGTTGTTCTCAACCTATGAGACCCAGTGATTTCTTTTTATACTTTTAAAACCCCTTTCACTATTTGGAAATAAAATACATAGATGATAAACGTATCTACAACCATGATTTCAAAGAAATAAAAACAAGTAGTGGTCTAACTATAATACAAAGAATAAGTAAAAGAGAAGTAATTTATAATGAAATAATGAAATTTGTAATAAAATATGTATTTCTATGTGTTTAGATGTGATTACAGTAGAAGACAATGAATTAAATAGTCAGATGCTTGCACACATATGTTGAATCACTGCATCTTACAAACACATGAATGATGAATAATTCATGTGTGTTGTGTTAGTGACTTAGAAATACTACAAGCTTGAATAACTCTTTATAAAGTTCTGAACAAAACAAGATACAATCTCCTGTGAAAGTACATGCAGTTTCCTTCCTGAAAAATTCAATATATGTTAAATATTAAAAACATTTTTATATGTAATATGGAATTGGGTATTAGGTCATGTAATTATGAACAGGTTTTTACCTACTTGAACATCTGCTGGGACATTTGAAAGTTGTGCAGGAATATTATTCATCCATTATAAAGAATGAGGAAGCTCTATGTATACCGTCATGAAAGATGCTGACAAAATATGTTCAGGGAAAAAAACAAGCTATAAAACATCATGTATAGTATCTCACTTCTATTAAAATAAACACACATACACATAGAAGAAAGGTTGGAAATCAAATATTACTAGAGGATAATATACTTTCAGTGTCTAAAATTTTTAAAACTATAAATTGGATTTTTTACAAAATAATTCTTGACATAAGTGCTTTTAAGCCATTACTTTGGTCAGTGGCTTTTTTTTTTTTTTTTTCCTGAGGAACGTTTGAGGAAAGAAAAACAGGCTTACATCATTAATATAAAAGGATGATATAATAGGAGGAAAATAATTTGGTAAAAATTGGCGTCTAGCATTTAGCATAAAACAATTTTTGTTCTTCCTGTGTCAAAATTTTAAATGGGAAAAGTGGGGTAGTTGCTGTTCCTTGTATTTATTTTGAAGCTTTTTGCCAGAAGGATTACATTTCTTTCCTGTCATTTTCCTCCTGGTCTTCATTTAGAAACACATGAAAAGAACAATAATCACTACTTGCAGGAGGGGTTTTAGGAAGGAAAATGCTATTACAGAATGTGGGAAATCCTGCCCCAGGCTAAACAGGTAAAATCCTTACATCTGCCTACAAAGCCTGTTTTTTCTTAGACTTTTGCTATTGATCACAGAGAACTACTCTGCTAGGTTGCCCTGACTCTAGGGAGGCAGAGTTTGGTGCATCCATAGCTGCATTTTTATGACTAAGAGTTTGGTTTGTACCCTCACCTTAATATTTCAGAGTCATGGGAACTGGCAGGAGGTCTCCTATGTTCTTTGCTAACTGTGTGAGAAAGGGAGGAAGCTTTTCTGGGTTTAAATCCCAACTCATATTTAAAGTAGTGTATCACAAGAGATATTTAAAGGAATTTTTTCCCCCAACGTTTTATTTTGAAAAATTTCAAACTTACAGAAGAGTTGAAAAAACAGTACAATGATTACTTGTTGCCCACTACCTAGATTGAGCAATCGTTAATATTTTGTCAGATTTTCTTTATCTACAAATAATTATGTGTTGTGTAGGTATGTGACATTATTTTCCCCTGGAAAAATAAGTTGTGGGTATTATAAAACTTGCAGTTAAAACCTGTGTTTGTAAATTTCTTTGCAGGGGCTACATCTGCTTAGATGCTGTTTGAAGTAGTGGATACACTATAGGGAGGAACAAAGCTGCCCTGGAATAAAAAGGAAAATAATTTTTGTGTTTTCTTACTTGGAATGGCCTCCTCTTGTCTCCATGAACTTTTTAGCACAGCTCACTACCTGTATAGTCATTTGCAGATTTTCACCCACATGCTCTTAAGATAATCATAAAGTTTTTTTGAAGGTAGTATATTTTTCTTTTTGTTCTAGGTGATCCCTCTGATAAGCCACCTTGCCGAGGCTGCTCCTCCTACCTCATGGAGCCTTATATCAAGTGTGCAGAATGTGGGCCACCTCCTTTTTTCCTCTGCTTACAGGTAACTCATTCAGGGCCTCTCCTAGGCTAGTTTTATGGATATAATAAATTCAGGAATGACTATCGGTTGCTCAGAAGGACCATACCTTATTAAATCCATTCCTTCCAGTCAGCCTTACAGTACACGTATTACCAGTGAAAAGTTGGGGAACAAAAGCAGATGGATGAGTTAGACTGTTGAATACAGGCATATCTCAGATACTGTGAGTCTGGTTCTAGACCCTATTACAAAGCAAGTATCACAATAAAGCCAGTCATCATCTTTTTTGCTATTGGAGGGTCTTGCCCCCAGTTTGTAAAAAGCACATCTGAGAAGCACAAAAAAGTGAAGCACAGTAAAATGAGGTGTGCCCATATTTCCCATCTCTATATCAACCCAATGCTTAATACTGTTTTTTTGCCCGTGGTGTTAAGTGTTGAGACTGCAGTATACAGAAGGGGAGGCTTACTCCTTTTGATAGCACCTGTAATGCTGTTTATTGTGTTATTGAAGAATGATCTTTGGGCTGCTGACAAACAAAGGTACAAACCATCTTGTTGATGATGATGATAATAATAATACTAAGTTTAAGTGCTTACTCTGTGCCAGGCACTATTTTGAGTATTGTACATGAATTAACTCTTAAGTCATCACTACAACCCAATAAAGTAAGTACAGTTAGAGTTCCCATTTCATAGAAGAAACTCAGGTGAAGACAAGGTTAAGTAATTTGCCCTAGGTCACACAACAAATGCCATAGTTATTGGATCCAAGGCACTATTGATTATAAGAAGCATCCCAATTTCAGAAATTAAAAATGACTGATGGGAGTTATAATATACTTTTTATTATGAGTCCTCATTTCAGAGTTTTAAAATATGAAAAAATATGTCTTACAATTGCTGAAATAAGTAAGCATGGATCCAGAATTCAACTATAGACAATCTGATTCCAGGGCTTATGCTTTTATCTCAGGAGTTTCTGTCCTAGGAAAAAGTCTCTTTTTCAGATTGTTGTTTATTCCCTATGAGGATCACAGAAAAGCTGTGATCATGAACCATCCTATTGGGGATGCAGATAAGATCAAATGAAGTCTTAACAGCTCAGCATAAGAGTAGAGTACCCCCAAACTATCTTCTATTCTTTAAGAAAGCATTTGAAAAGGTAGCTTTTTGATAACTTAATTTTCCTCTTTTTTGCAGTGTTTCACTCGAGGATTTGAGTACAAGAAACATCAAAATGATCATACTTATGAAATAATGGTAATGATGAAGTTGTAGGAAATAATGTTTATTTTTCCAGTCTTACAATGGGAATTAGCTTTTTTTTCCTCCGCCACCAAGAATCTCTTTCCCTTTTCTTTCCTCCTCTTTTGAATTAGATAATCGTTACCCAATAAGTTTTTTAGAGTTTTATGGATCTACTGAGGCATTTAAGTCCAAAAATCATTTTATATACTCAGATTTTTGTTTTAAACTTAGAAGGAAGAAAAACACTTTTTGAGATTTATTGATGTAAGAGTTACGTTGCTTTTTAGATTCATTGATAAACATACAGTAGATGTGTTGTCAATGTGTTTTGACTGATGGAAAATACCACATGAAAATACATGTGGTTCATGGGGTTAGTGGTGATGTTTATGTCTGATACTCTATCCCCCTTCCATGGGAAAGTTAGGTACCTTTTAAAAGTTAAGCTTAAAATGAACGTAGAGTGAATGATACAATACATAAAATCACTTTGAAGAGACAGACTGGCTTGTAGGCCAGAGTAAGGCTTGGCTGTAATTTGATAAATTATATTACCAGCTCTATGGAAGGAATAAGAGGCAGATGTTGGTAGCAAACTTCCAAGCTCTAGACAGAGAAATGGGCACTTTAGTAAACCAAAGTAAATATCTGGTCTGCTTGGCAGGTATATATACCTTAGTTAAGATAGTTTTGTCAGTTACCAGAGCATAACTTTTAGTTCACCATCTAGTTTTTCTTACAAGCAAGAGTGCTGCTGGGGCATCTGTTAATGCTTGACAGTAATAATGCCTCCCTCTTCTACTTTTAAGGGCCCATGTGACTACATTGGGCCCACCTGGAAATGAAAGCTACTCTTCCTATTCTAAAATCAATAGATTAGTACCTTAGTCCCATCAACAGAGTCCATTCGCATGAATGTGTAGTTAGTGTTTGAATAATCAGGGGACAGGAATCCTGGGGATAAAAGAGGTCATCTTTAAAATTATGCATACCACAGCACTATAGTATATTTACCTCAGTCTCTTAATAGTTTAGAAAGGGTGAATCAGCATCTCTATGAGTCCGATTATTTGTGGAGTCCGTTAAGATGAATTTCTGGGTTTACAATGCGAAGAATCAAATCCTGGTCCACAATGAGTTAATCAAAACATGTTCCTTAATAAGAGTTATTGGCAGCCAACTGGCTATCCTTACCCCACCTCTCTCTAAATACTTGTCTTCTAAATGCTTTCTTCAGTAATTATAAGATTTGGAATACAATTTTTTTTAACAGTAGGCTTTGTTTTTAAGAGCAGTTACAGGTTCACAACAAAATTGAGTAGAAAATACAGAGATTTCCCATATGTTCCCTGCCCCTCACAAGCATTTAGACTCCCTTGTTATCAACTTCTCCACCAGAGTGGTACATTTATTATAACTGATGAACCTACATTGATACTTCATTATCACCCAAAGTCCATGTTTACATTAGAATTCACTCTTGGTGTTGTATGTTCTGAGCATTTATACAAATATATAATGTCATGTACCCACCATTTTATAGTATCATACAGAGTAGTTTCATGGCCCTAACAATCCTCTGTGTTCTGCCTATTTGTCCATCCCTCTGCTTCTCCCCTGGCAATCACTGATCTTTTTATGGCCTCCATAGTTTTTTTCAGAATGTCATAGAATTGGAATCATACAGTACATAGCCTTTTCATATTGGCTGCTTTCACTTAGTAGTATGTATTTAAGTTTCCTCCATGTCTTTTTATGGCCTGATAGCTCATTTCTTTTTGCTCTGAATAATACTCCATTATCTGGATGTACCAGTTTATCTATTCACCTACTGAAGAACATCTTGGGTTGCTTCCAAAGTTTGGCAATTATGAATAAAGCTGTTGTAAACATCCATGTGCAGGTTTTTGTGTGGACATGTTTTCAGCTCCTTTGGGTAAATACCAACAAACTCAATTTTTTAATTGCATGGGAAGAGTATGTTTAGTTTTTTAAGAAACTGCCAAACTCTTCCATAGTGGCTGTGTCATTTTGCATTACTGCCAAAAATGAATAAGAGTTTCTGTGGCTCCACATTCTGGCCAGCATTTGGTGGTATCTCTTCTAGACTTTGGTCATTCTAATAGGTGTATCGTGGTAACCCATTTTAATTGTCCTTGCTCTGATAACATGTGGAATATCTTTTCCTATCAATACATATTTCCCCTTTTGTTAATTGTAAAATGAGTAAAGTGTGGGTGCAGTAGCTATGGCTTTGAGTGCACTTCATCAGAGTTATCAGATTTTTCAGAAAACTGCTTTATTTTTCCCAAATTCACACAAGAATGCCTAGAGGCATAATACACATTTATTCATTTGAATTGTGAAAATAATTACTTAAAGGATAACTAAGTATAGGTTCAATAGATTGGTGGTTAGCCACTGTAGAGAAGCTGACCATTAGCTCTAGCTGTTCTGGGCAGTATTTTTTGCATAATGCTGAAGGTACTAAATTTCACTCCAAGGCCACTTAATTCTTCTGATTACATCACCCTTTCTCACACATTCAACGCCCATACAAACACATTTTAAAATTCTATTTTTTATTTTGGGGAGCTTTTGGAGGTTAGTAATATTTTCTCTTTTTTTCTGCCAGACTTATCTATTCCCAGATAAGGAAAAAAGGAATCTCCTTCAGTAGGAATGATGACCCGGTGATGGCTTTCTACACATGAAGCCACTAAAAACTAGATTTATTCTTTTTTAATTTTATTTATTTATTTTGCATGTGAAGCCTCAGAAACTCTACATGGCTTCCACTGCTTTTGTCATCTCACAGTGCTGTATTTTTGGACGTTACTCATGCTGTAGTGGGTGGTGCATTAAGATTTCTGAGTCCTATGTCTATTTTTGTCTTATAATTCTTAGAACCTTGAACAAATCAAGGCACCATTTTCTGCCACACCCTTTATACCAGTGATTCTTAAACTTTAGTGCAGAAGGATTACCTGGGGGTGCTTCTTAAAAATGTAAATTCCTAAGCCCTGCTGTTAGAGATTTTGGTTCAGTAGGGTTGAGGTTGGGTATAAGAATTGAGTAACATTGATAAAACTTCAAGAAAAACTGTGTTATGTCTATTAATTTATTTTTGGTGTAAAAAGTCTTTCTTGTTCCTCTCACAGTAAAGTTGATGAGGGCTAATTAATATTCTGAAATACAGTTTTGGAAATAACATAGGCTCTTCAACTATGAGTTGTCATATTTACATGTATTTATGGCACTGGCCAGATAGAGTGATTATATGAATTTAACATAAACATAATCCCATAAATTTCCCTCTGTGGTTTCATTGCACCTTATGTGCTAAGCATAGTTATAGTACGTGCTCAGATAAACATGTATTGCTTATTAGTGTAATCTCACAAATCACCACAGTATTTTTTGTCATTAACAAAAGATAACCATTTCTAAATGCCTAGGTACTCAAAAGACCTCTTATGTCACTTTTTAAAAAACACTGTAGAAAATTTCAAGCATATACTAAAATAGAATGGTGTCTCAGTTATATCTTTTGCTCTCTAACAGCGACTGCAAACTTTTGTGGCTTAAAATAGCAACCATACTATCTCCCACAGGTTCGTAGGCCAGGAATTCAGGTAGGATTGGACAGAGTTAGGATAACGTTCAGTTCCAGTGCTGGAGCTAGAAGTCCAATGGGTTTTTTTTCACACACTCTGGCACCTCAGGAGGGTGGCTTGGACTGGTGGGGAATTAGCTAGAACATCTTAACTGCCTGAGGCGTTGGTTCTTCTCCAGTAATCTTAAATCCTCTCCTTCTCCATGTTACCTTTCCACATGGTCTTTCCAGCAGAGAGGCTAGATTTCTGATGTGGCCTAGGAATCTTAAGAGTGCAAAAGTGGAAGGTGCTAGGACTTCGTAAGCAAGTCACAGGTCCAGCCCATCTTAAATGAGAAGGAACCACACAAGGATGTGAATTGCAGGTGAAGTTCATTGACAGCCACCCCTGTAACCAACTAGCGTACATAGTATATAGTAAACTCCCATATACTTGTTATTAGCTCTTAAAACGATCAACTCATGGCCCATTACTCTAAATCACCAACTGTTAAGATTACTTTGAAGGAAATCTTCTAGACATTATATAATTTTATCTATAAATGCCTTATTAGATCTTTTGAAAATTTAAAAGTAATTCAAGTCACTTTTTGCATTTCCCCAATCAGTTCATAAAAGGTTTTTTAAAAATCTCTGCTCCATTCCCCACCTATGAAATAATCACTGTTCTGATTTTTTATTACCATAGATCAGTTTTGCATATTCTACAACTACATATACATGGGTTCATACTGTATATACCTATGTTTTGGGGGGTTTTTTGTTTTGTTTTTACTTAGCATGTTTTTGAGATTTACTCATGTTATATAGTTCGTTCCTTTTTGTTACTGTGTAATGTATCCCATGGTAAGAATATAACAATTTGTTTATCCTTTCTGTTGCTGGACACCTGGGCTTTGGCTAGTTTTTGAATATTATGAAAAAAGCCACCCTGAACATTCTTGTTTAAAGCTTTCTATGGATATATATTTTCATTTTTCTTAGATAAATACTTGGGAATGGAATTGCTGAGTCATAGAACAAATGATTAACTTTTAAGAAACTGTCAAAAAGTTTCCTGAATGGTTGTGTCATTTTACACCTCTGCTAGCAGTGCCTGAGGGTTCTAATTGCTCCACATGCTTGTCAGCTTTTGAAAGTGTCAGTTTTTTTACTTTAGCTATTGTTGTGGGTATCATAGTGTATAGTAGTATCATAAATTTTTTTTTGGACTTTTCCAGTTTGTTCTAATTGGGATGTAAATAAGATCCATACATTCCAATTAGTTGCCTCATATATTTTCTATTCTGTGGGTTCTCCTCCTCTCCAACCTTCCCTCACTCTCTCACTTTTTATAATTTATTTGATTTTTTAAAAACTGAATTGTCTTAATAGATGTTAATAGAGGCTGAACTTTGCTCTCTAATATGTACCTCTGTCTTCTGTTTCCTATAGTTTGGTAGTTAGATTTAATGGCTACATCATAGATATGATTATTGTCTAGATCTATTAATTTATTGAGGATTACAAAGTAGTTATCTTTTAATAACTACTATTCTATTACTCCTTTAATTTGATTTAAAGTCTATAAAAACAGTTCATGTCATTATGTGTTCACTCTTAGATAAAATTTGTACAGGAAAGGCAGGATAAATACTTGATTATTTCCTTTTTTTTTTTTTTTTTTTTACTGGTATCGAAATATGAGTTGGTTTCCTGGTACCTCTGGATATTTATAATGCTTTATGTGTTTCATTCCTTTGCACTTGTTATCCTTTTTAATGCTCAAAATGTTCCATTTTTAGTTAGTGGGAGCCTCTACAAGCTAGTCTCTGAATTCTTTTGACATGACACTTATAGTCTTTGAGAGGCTCTTTGCTTTCCAGTGTGACAAAATGTTCCAATCTCATCTTGTACATTTCCTGACCCAAAGCTAGAATCATCTTTTTCTTCAAGGAGTTCTAGTTCCTTTAGTGGAAAATAATGTTTAGAGACTGCATACTAGGCAATAGAAGCACTTATTGCTGCTGGGTTGGCCATTGTTTCTAGACATTTTCAGTGAACAATGTTAGGAAATTATTCTTTTAATTCAAAACACATCATGAGTTTATACTAAAACTTTCAATTCAAATACTAGACTACAAAGTTTTATATAACCTCAAAGATCTATATCTAAATTTTTTCCCCAAGCCAAAAATCCCACTGTGCAATGATACCAATAATTATTTTTTTGCTTTACTCTATGACACATCCACGTGCAATAATCTCAGAATATACAAAAACTACTGAAAACAGTTTAAGGGTTACTTTGGCAGTTGCTTTTACTTTAAGGTATATTCTACAGATATACAGTCAAATTATTATATTTTAAAATCAACTAACATTGTTTCCTTCTGTGTGATGATGCCTTAATTTATATGTTTGTTACATTTTGCTTTTAATTGTTAGGCTTTTAAAATTTAATAATTACATACAATATCTGTGGTTTCAAAGTTAAATCTGCAAAACAGGGAATATTCAGAGAGGTCTAACTTTTATCCCTATCCTTTCTACCTGTTTTCTTCCTCCCTTCCCCACAGGTAATCTTTTTTTTTTAAATGTGTGGTTTATTCTTCCATTTAAAAAAATGAAGAAATAGCCCCTGATGGTGTGGCTTAGTTGGTTGGGCCTCATCCTGCAAAGCAAAAGGTCTCCAGTTCAATTTCTGGTCAGGACACACACCTGGGCTGTAGGTTTGGTTTCCAGTCATGATGCAAGGCATGTACAAGAGGCAACAGATTGATGTTTCTCTCTTACATCTATGTTTCCCCTCCTCTCTTTTTCCCACCCTTGTACATTTAGAAATGTATAAATGAAACATTTTTTACTTTAAATAACTAAAATATTTGTATTTTAGTTATTTAAAAGTAAATAAAATATTTTTTAAAAATTAATTAAAAAATAAATACACATGTGTATTCCCCTCTTTCTTAGCTACATGGGAGAATAATAAAATATTTATCTCTACCTTTGTGCTAAGTTTAAAATATATATATGTTTCTGCATGAATTACATGGCATTTATGGGTTATAATATTTATTGGAGACCCTTGATGGTGTAAATAGGAGTAAGGGCAGTAGACCCCCATAAGAAGAGTTATTTAAATAGAATTGGTTTTAAGGACAAAAATTAGTATTACCATTGAGGTTTCTAGGCAAACCTTTTCTATGTCTGTTCTTAGGCAAATCTTTTTCTTTCATAGACCTCAGATTTTCCTGTTCTTGACCCCAGTTGGACTGCCCAAGAAGAAATGGCCCTTTTAGAAGCTGTGATGGACTGTGGCTTTGGAAATTGGTAAGAGCTTGGTGTTAGGGCTTGTCCTGCCCTAGTGAGCATAGAGAAGAAGGTGCTCTTGAAGGGTAAAGGGAGGAGCCTCAGAAGTCTGAGGTCATATGTTTTGGGGATCATATGTTGCTTTTTTACTGACCCATGACTTAGAGACAAGCCCTCCTTAATGTCTCATTGGGATGCGGGACATTTCCTTGTTCTATGACTGGGCAGCCCTACAAGAGCATTTTGGATGTATCAACACAAGGAAGATTGGTTATTCCCTCCTGAATAGTGGGGAAGTTTAGACTCATGAATCATTCCTCCTTTCCAATTTCATGAATTTTTCTTGGCTGTGGATGCCCTCATCATTTAACTGACTCAGACTTTAGGCAAATAACCATAGCTTTCCTAAGATTCAAGTTTGACAGACTTCCTGTTCACATGCCCTATTTTTAGCTTTCAAGAATCTGCCTTAGTCCAAGTGGGGCAGAACTGGACAGCAGTTATTACTGTTGCCCTAGGTGGCAACAACATTTAATAACAATACCACCACTCTCATTTTTATCAGTACTTTGACACTGATGATATCATGTTGTGAACTAGATAGCAGAGGATTATTAAATATGTTTTGTTCATGAAGAATCTGAAGCTTAACGAAGGGACTTGAAATGATTTCTTATGGTCACATAACTTGTTTTTGAAGGATCCTTAACTAGTTCTACCATGTCCTACCACCCTAGTATGTATAATCTTTCCTGATATTAATAGACTATATTATGCTGCCTTCCTTAGGCTGAGGGCTCTGAAGAAGGGGAGTTGAGTTCAGTTCACATTTTGCCTGTATGTATTCATTCAGCATTTATTAAACATCATAAAATAATCATGTATTACGGGGAATACCAAAGATAGAAAACGTGATCTTTTGTGAGACACTTAGTAGTCATCTTTGGCCTTTTTGGTTTTTCATTTTTTGCTTGTCATTCTAATGCTCTTAAATCGCTAATCCTCCCTGTCTCCCTTCCCTCTTAGCATAGACCACAAAAAGACTATTGTTTCTCTATCTGCCATGGGTAAGGCACTAAGCTTGGTGATAAGGGTGTTAGAATTAAGAATTATGACATTCTGCCCTCAAGAAGCTTATAATCTAGAAGGAGAATATATATGCATACATATATGTGTGTGTAAATAAAACGGTCTGTTCAGGAAGTTTCCAGCCATGCAATGTGAAAAAAGACATTTATTGAAGAAGATACACAATACAAAAAACATGGTACATAAGACAATGACACCTCAGTCCCCTTCAAAGGAGGCACCTTGCTATCTCACACAGTTCTCCCAATTTCCATAAGCTGCCCTGTTGTGTTTTCCTGAATCTCATTGACAGTCTGAAATCTTTTCTCTTTCAAAGGCAATTTTAGTTTTGGGAAAAGCCAGAAGTCACAAGGGCTATAGCGGGGCTGAGTCACTTGGGCAATATGATGTTTCACCGAAAAACTGCATGAGATGTGATGCATGAGCAGGTGTGTTGTCATGGTGAAGCTGCCAATCACCAGTCGTCCAGAGCTCCGGCCATTTTTATCCTATTCCATCTTGCAACTGACAAAGAACATTGAGGTGTAGTACTCATTATTAATTGTTCGGCCTGGAGGGACATACTTGTGATGGACAATACCTTCCCAATCAAAAAACACAGTTAACGTGGTCTTGATCTTGCTGTGACTTTGCTGCACCTTCTTTGTGTGTGGAGAACCAGGTGACTTCCATTGGGAGGACTGAGCCTTCGTTTCCAGATCATAGCCGTAGACCCACAATTCATCTCCACTTATGACCTTCTTGAGGAAATCTGGTTCATTGGTAACAGTTTGAATCAAGTCATTAGCAACTACAGCATGATGTTCCTTGCACTCTGGTAGCAGAAGCTGCGGAATGAATTTGCCATCTCCCGTTTCAGGCCAAGATCTTGCATCAAAATCTCAGAAACAGCAGTTTTTGGAATCCGCAGATCAGCTTCTAGTTCTTGCACTGTCAAGTCGCTGATATTTGTGGATTACAACCTGTACACATTCAACATTCTCCAGCATTCTGCCTGTTGCAGGCCTTCCTGAATGTGGATTACTTTCAACAGATTCTCAGTTACCTTTGAAACGTTTGTGCCACACTTTTATTTGCGCTGTACACACTGCATCATCCCTGAAAGCCACCTGAGTCATCCAGATAGTTTCTGTGGAGGAATTTTGTCAAGCTTAACACAAAATTTGATGCAAATTCATTGCTCTTCTTGCTCAGTCATTTTGAATATGATGGCCCCACAGTACACGTGCTCACTCAATGACATCTAGTGCCCCCACTTAGTACTAAAGTGAAATCGTCATTCACACATGCACAACCAGTCCATTCTCCTTGGCTGCCAGGTTATATCAATGTCACACAAACTGTTCTCATTATAGTAACAATGGCTGGACTTTTTCCAGACTGGCCTAGATATAGATAGATAGATAGATAGATAGATAGATAGATAGATAGATATCAATATATATCAATCATACAGGGTCCAGCAGAAGTAACGCTTGCTTGAATGTGGTTGGTAGGGTATGTGAATGTCTTGCACGAGATGGACAGCAATTTGACATTTCACCTAAGATGTCATAATGGTGTGGTTGAGTGTGAGATTGTTATGTTACAGAATTACATGCTAACAATTTTGTAGTAAAAGGGGCATTATCTATGCCAGACCCTGTACATACTATATATATATTTGAAATACAAAAATCAGGGCATAGTAATACCTTACGAGAAGAATAAACAAAAGTGCTGTGGAAAAGAGGTTGATAAGCGGCTTTGAGAGATTTCACCTCTACCTCTTCACCATCTGGGCTGAGAGTCAGGAGTTTTGAAAACAAATTCTGGCTTTGTCTCTGATGTGCTTTGTATTCTTGAGCAAGTTTCTTAATGTCTTTGGGCCTCATTTTTTTTCATCTGTGATATTGAGATAGTACTCACACCACACAGTTAATGGTAGGATTAATTTAAATTATGTTATGTTATGCTTGGCCTATTGTAAGAGCTCTAGTAAAGAAATGTTTGCTCACGTGAAGTGTTTTGTAAACTACAAAACATTACTCAAGTATAAAACTATACTTATGTACATTCTTAGTGTTCCGAAGTAGCTTGTTATTTTTGTAGCAATTCTCTCCCTGGGACTGGGCTCACAAGGTAATTTTAAGTTTTCTAGAAATTTTTCCCATCTTTTGGTGGAAAGGAAAGAGCTTTTCAGAAACTGTTTTTGTATCTTAGAATAGCAGGATTTGGAATATCAGATTACACGAATATTAGGCTTATATTTGTCTTATTGTCCTGCTGATGGCTCATGACACCAGTTTGGAGGTATCAAATTCCAGATATTATAAGGATAGGACTTAAAATTTGAAATGAACAAACCTTGTTTTAACCATTATGTATAGTTGAAAGCACTACTCCCGTCTCTTTTCCTCACATTCCTGTAGGCAGGATGTAGCCAATCAGATGTGTACCAAGACCAAGGAGGAGTGTGAGAAGCACTATATGAAACATTTCATCAACAACCCTCTCTTTGCATCTACCCTGCTGAACCTGAAGCAAGCAGAGGAGGCAAAAGCTGCTGACACAGCCATTCCATTTCACTGTAAGTGCCTCCCTTCGTAAGAGATATTTAGGTCATCTTTAGCCCTGTTGCATAGCAGATAAATAATGGTGTGGTGACCTAGACAGCTAACCAGTTTATGAAAGACAGAATGAGTTGACATGGCCATTATTGAGAGGCAGAGCCATAGTGGGGCATGGAGAAAACGTCTCCCAGAGGACAGAGTTCTGTATTGGGTGTCAGAGTGCCTGAAGCCCATGTGCAGTTACATCTGAGATTCTTTAAGTTTAACACATTAGTTAATGTTAATGCCTGCTTCTGTGAGGTGAGATTGCAAAATGAACCAATCTTTCCATGCTGTTGTGAACACAAGGCTTTTTACAATTCCTTGGGAGAGTTTACGATTGTACGTATTAGTTACTTAAAGAAGTCCAGTATTTAACTCAGTATCATTAATTATTAATCATCCTAGCGTTAAGTCCAAGAAGCAATTTGTTATTTTTGTTCACTTCATTGTGGCAGTAGCAGCACACTTTACTTTTTAAATCTCATGTGGCTGAGGGACCCATGGGTCTTCTAACAAAACATAACCAAAATCATGATGAATTATAAATGGACATCTTTCCTCAATGACTCCCAGAGCACAAGTAATGGGATATGAAAGTTTTCCCTTCCTCCCTCCCTTTCCTCATACTCTCTAGGAGCAGTTTCATAGCTGACTAACACAAAGCCTGTTACCAGAGCCTGGTGATACCTCCTGTTTGGATGGTACTTTGGAGGTTAGCACTCTGTTCCCAAATCCATTAGACCATTTGTTCCTCATAGACACCCAGTAAGCTAGGCAGAGCAAGTGCTTTTGTTTTACACAGGAGGAAACAGGTTCAGGAAGGTTAAATGATTTTTGCAAAGTCAAGTGGGGATTTAGGAGACTAGTTGATGTTAGAGTTAGGACTCAATTCCAGCTAACTTCCAAATCCAGTGGTTTTTTTGTTCTTGTTGTTTTGTTTCTGTTTTTGTTTTTCTGCCTCTCAGTTGGATGAGCTTTGTGAGTTGAGATCGGTCCTAAAGTATAAGGGAGCTGAAGGAGACAGGGTAAATACTGAACATTCTGTAATATTAAAGAAAAGATCCTTGGCTTTTTCGCGTGTTAAGAGCAGAGTGAATTTTCCCATACTTACTTAAAGGATTCATTAAGTCTTAAAATTTCCTTTTTAAGAAATCAGTCTATTTCCATAATACTTTATCTTTTTCATTTTTATACAAATCTTTTGAATTTTATGTATTCTCGCAGTCACTGTCTTTTTCCAAACAAAAGTATTTCAGAATGTTAATAAGGACTATTTCTGTGTCACTTTTTTAAGGCCAATATTTTATAAAGTAAGTAAGAAAAACTCTAAATTCTTCCAGCTGCAGATGACCCTCCCCGACCTACCTTTGACTCTTTGCTTTCTCGGGACATGGCAGGATACATGCCAGCTCGAGCAGATTTCATTGAGGTAGGAGAAACTTGTTTTTGTTTCTGACCAGGCTTATATCTTTTACCTTTGGTTCCTTAGGACTGAGGAAAGATTTTCAAAGCGCTGTAATTGGGAGGGCTTACATAGCCACATTTTCTTCTATTTCAGTGCCTTTTCTCATTTGTAAACATTTTCACATGCAGAACAGCAGAAGTTCTTCAGACCAGGAATCTGTTTTATAAGTGTCATTGGTGTTGGCTCCCCCCTTCTTAGTAGGTAACGGGCTTCTTTAGGCTGGTCCTCATTCCACACCTAGCAGGTTTCAAGGTTGTACTATATCAGGGGTTGGCAAACTTTTTTTAAGGGCCAGATGGTAAATATTGTAGCTTTCGCAAGCCATAAAGTCTCTTTTGCAACTAAATGTTGCTATTATTATGCAAAAGAAGCATTGATAATATGTAAACAAATGAGCACGCCTGTGCTCCAGTAAATTTTTTTTTACAGAAACAGGCAGTGGGCTGGATTTGGTCCATAGGCTATAGTTTGCTCACCCCGGTACTGCATTTATAAGATAAAGAATGACAAATTTATATTAAAAACTACACGTTCCTTGTTCAACTATGGAGTTAAAAAGCCATGTGACTCACAATTACAGTCCTTCTGGAGGTAAGTTGAAAGTTTAGAGGGCTTCAAACAATTTTGCTAGCTACACCCAAGTCAGCACTTTTTTCATGGCAAGTGATCTTACAGAGCGACCCCATAGACACGACCCCTACGAATTGTACTCATTGAGTAGAATATGAACAAATCTATCCATTGAGCTATATAAGCAATATTGTTGAATAAACAGAGCCCTCAGAAGGTAGTAAAAAGGTAAATGAAGTAATGCAGACAATTTTCATACCTGAAGATCTATTCAGAATTCGATTTTATGGGGGTTACTTTTTATGAACACACTTTTAATTTTTAGAACAATAGCTTTGGCTTTTTTCATAAACTAATAACTGTTCTCATTTTTGCTGTCACTACTGCCTGAAAGCCTCTCAAATTTCCCCCGTGACTTACTGTTTGTGGCAGTATCCTGGCCTTGTACCCCATTCAGTACTTTTTAATGAGTGTTTACCTGTGTGTTTTCAAGTTGCTTCTAATGCATGGCTACTGTAAAAGTATTACCCAAAGCTGATTAGTTTGGGGCGGGGTTTTTTTTCCCCCAAACAGGAGTTTGACAATTACGCAGAGTGGGACTTGAGAGACATCGATTTTGTTGAAGATGACTCGGACATTTTACACGGTAACATTTTGTTTCAGCCAATGCTTTTATTGATCGCAAACTATGTGATGACACTGTGTTGGGATCTAGGAATATAAGGATGAATAAACATGTCCCCTGCCCTTAACAGGACTCAAAGTCTAGCAATTAAGTTGCTGAACTTACTCTGTTGTTGGGTTTTGACCACAGTGAGAAAGACCATTTGTGCCGGTGGTGGGAGTACCATGGTAGCTGGGAATATCCCATTCCTTGGACTGTGTGTGTGATCTTCCTTTTGACTGAGGAAAGCCTACACTGAAGTAATCGGTTCACTGACCCTTACTGCCTCCCAAAAAGGAAGGGAGTCATTGTGAAAACCTTGGCACTTTAGTAGCAACTGCTGATTCTAGATGCCCACTGTAATTTGCTACCCCAAATTTCCCATAGCAGGGGAAAAGAATGGAAGTTCTTTGAGGACTTTTCAACCAAGATTAGGAATTTCTCGTTTCTCAGAAGTGTTAAGTTTTTAGTGTTTCTGAATTCTCATCTAAGGTTAGCCTTCTAAGGATTTATGTCGACTCTTGCATTATAACATCAATGGTTAATGCCAACAGGGCTCTTAAAAGTGGATGGTTAGACTTTTGTTGAATCTCTTCCCCCCCCCCACTATTTTCAGTGAGCTACATATTCAGAATATCCTCCAGTCTTCTCTTTCAGTTCAGTCCAGAATTGAATATGATGCAATATGAATAATGCTCCCTTAGATTCTATAGTTCCCAAACAGCATCTTCATTGTTTCTCTTAAATCTATATTCCAGGCAGGAAAGGCAAGTAGAATCCTTGTTGAATTATAAATCAAGTTTTCATGTGGCATTAACTGCTACCCTGTCATTAGAAAGGGAATTTGATTCCTCTCTCCATAGAAGAGCTGCCTAGGTGTTTGTTACACCAGATTGAGGACAAAGAAAGAGTCCTCATAAAAATTTTACTTTCAGGACTTTTTCTCTACATATTCCTTGAGCAGTTTTCTTTGCAAAATTTCATCTCTCTTCTCCCACACAACTTTAAGGAAAGTCAGAGTGACGCAGATTGAACTAAAAGAGGAAGCTTGAAAGCCAACCACATTGGCCTTCACTAGATTCATTGTATTTGTTCAGTCATCAGGTCTATCTCTCCTTTGCAACCCTGAGTAACTCATGTTATTGTCTTTCTCACCCTGTGTTGTTCCCTTAAAGGTAGTATGCAGATTGCCATTCAGTATTTCTCCTCGTTTATACCACTTTTAGTTAAAATGGTATTGTTTCCTGGTTGTATCTTTCTTTTCCAGGATGAAAAAAAATGCAACTTTATAAATATTATCCTTTCAGATGCCATTCAAAAGTACCAAACTTTTGAAAGTCAGACTCTTTAATGTCAATAATAGCTAAACTATGTAAGAGACTTGCTGAATCACTTCTCTGGGCCCAAATCCAAGGTCTTCATTCTTAGGCCTCAGCATTATTAAGAAAACTGTAGTAATGGTTGGCATTTAATTTCACTCTTCATTTTTCCTAGAAATGGGATCTGTAATTGTTCTGGTGCACTTGTGCTACTTTCTGTAATTAAGTGGGAGCAAAAGGGAAAAACAACAGAAAGGATGAAACAATTGAGTGACAGTTTTTAAGTTAACATTTCAAACCTACAGTATACTTTAATTCTTTGTGCTCTTCCTACAGTTTCTACAACCTTGTTAGTCTTTTGATTCTAGTTCATTTGAACTAGAACCGAAACATCAGCTATTGTGATACATAAATAGCTTTAACAGAACATAAATAATAGTCCTGGACTCCCCTTTGCTTCCCTGTCTAGTAGTGGACTGTAAGATGTTGAGATCGGTGCTTTTTAAAGGGTGATAACATTTTAAAGAGGTTTTGCAGCACTAGAGGGACGACTTGCTGGTGCCACAAAAGGATGCTTTGTGTTTGGCTCTGAGTTCTTAGCTCCTCTGGTGGCATGACCCTCACTACCCAGCGGGGCATCTTATTGGCCCTGAGCTGAGCAGTTTCTCCCAGAGCACTCTTTGAAAGGGGCCTAGGAGCCCAAGGAGACTCAGGAAGGAATAAGAAGGAGCACACCTACGACAGACTGAGGGACACATATTTTGTGCAAATCAGGATACCAGTTCAACCTCACACTTGTTCCTAGTCACTGGGTGATCTTGGGCAAGGCCTTAGAATCTTGCTTACTATTTCTTTGTGTCCCGTGCCAAAAGAGAAGGAGTGACACTGATTCATCAGAGAGTATGAATATCGCCAATGAAAGATGGTACATCATTCAGGATGATGTAACTACCATTCCATTATACTAATATACTCTTAATATTACTGAGTATTAACAACATTCCTTTTATATTCCCTCACTTATAACTACTGGAAGGAAGCAAATTGTTTGGCTTGGTTTGGCTGGGTGTTTTTTAATATTCCATCGCAAGGCATCTAGATCAATGGATGCCACAAAGCCCCTTTCCTCACCCAAAGACTTTTCCTATCATTCATGGAATTTGTCTAATAAAATGGTTTTGAATAGTTCATTATAGAGACCTAAGGCACATTGGAAGGATAATAAATTGCATTCCAGCCATAGTAGAAAGCTTTAAAAAGAATTGTTTATTTGTATTTAGAGATCAGGAAAAGAGAAGGAAAGAGAATCAGTTGTGTCTTGCAAGCCCCCAACCAGGGACCTGGCCCACAATCCAGGCCTGTGCCCTGACCAGGTAAATGGCAACCTTTCTGGTTGGCAATCCAGCACTCAACCCACTGAGCTACACCAGCTAAGACCATATCAGAAAGCTTTTAGAATGGGCCCAAAGAAGATATTACAAGTGAAACAGTGTCTAAAGAAGAAAATAAGGAAGTTCTGGGATCCCTAAATGACACTTCCCTATGTTTTATTGAAATAAGCAGAAATTATGGGCTCAGAAAGAGAGATGCAGGAGACTCATGAACATCATGATTATGTTGTGGGAATTTCGGTACAGACACATAGTGTAGTTCCCTTTTCCTGAGAACATCACTCACCACTTGCTTTCATTTGGGAAAATCTCCTAAATTTGTGGACTCCTCTTTCCCAGAGTTTCACAGGGTCTGAAATCCTGGGTGCAGCATCTTCTAACTGTTGCTGTCTCATAAGCCAGGCAAGCAAGAGGCATTATAAGCTCCTTCCTGTGTGTTGGGTCTGTGTTTTCAACACTTCTCAGGGTTGCACATTAAAACAGTTTATTCTCCCTTTATTTGGAAAGATAATTTCAGCAAAATTTCTTGGCCAGGCATGGATTCCCGCCCCCCCCACGCCCCTGCCCCCCACCTGCGTTCGGCCCATATTGTCAGCCTTTAGATCCTTTTACAGTTAGTAGATCAGATATCCACCCTGGCCTCTGTGCACACTCACCTTGTGCAGGTACCCTTCCCTTAAAGTGATTTGACTATTCTGTGCTTAGGACATTTTAGATATAAATGCTATTAATAATAGCTAATACATTGAGCACTTACTGTTTGCCAGGTACCATTTTAAGCCCTTCATACATGTGAACTCATTTAATCCTCACAAAACTCTGTGAGTTGGACATTATTGTTATCCCCATTTTATAGATGAGGAAATTGAGGAATGGAAATATCACCTAACTTGCCTGAGATCATGTAACCTGCAAGTGACAGAGCCATCTCCAGAGTCTCTGATCTTAATAGTGTACTAATTATCTTTATAATCTTAAATTTTTGTTGCTGGGTTTTTTGGGGGTCGGGGGAGGAAATGACATTTCACATTTGTTGTCTCCTACGGCTTAACCACATTCCTGGGAAGCAGGAATTGATATTTTCTCATTTTACATTCAAGGTATTGTACAAAGGAGTTAACTAACTTGCCCATTGCCTCCTTGTTGCTGACTTTAACCTCTAGGTCATACAGTCGCCTTTCCTTCACAGAATTAATTGTGTACTTCTTGGCCAAAAGCTTGGGGGTTGGGGGGTGGGGAATGACTAAAGCTTTGCTTCTTGGGAATACGAGTCACAGGTTTGTACTTGTGTGGTTGTCAGAGGGATTTTGATTGGCTTCCCCGCAGTTAAGGCCTCTGACTTCATTTTCTTGCCAAACAAACAGTAAGTGCCTTCTGTCAGGAAAACAGAAACATGTTGCCGGCTATTTTGAACAACGTTAGAAATATATTGCAGTGGGAAGGAGCTGCCTCTGACTTCTGCCCACTTCTTGAAATATTTTAAGGCCAGCCATTTGGAAACTTTGTTATCAGTGCCCAGTATAATCACAGGGAGACTGTTCTTCCCCCAAGGCCAAGATTTCAGAGGCCTTACATCAAGTGGATAGGTTTTGGGGGGTGGGGGGGTAGGGGGTTAGTTGGTTTGTTTTCAATGATCTCTGGTTCTTCGGTTGCCCACTTTAGTGGAACCTCCAGTCACTGTAAGTAGAATGTGAACTGATGATTCTCATTCTTGGCAGTGTCTGCCTTGTTATTTCTATTCTGCCTGCTGTGCTGTGGTCTTCTCTGAGTTGTTCGTGGAGTGAAGCTCTTATAATCACCTGCTACCTGAGTGTGCTTTATAAAGGCAAAGAGATAGCTTCAGATGTGAATTTTACTCTGGGAGAATTCCAGTTCTCCTTTCATTTGTTTCTGTGTTCTTTTCCTTCCCTTTGTTACCCAGAGCCAGTTGTACATGTTTAAACTACTGAAATGATCAAGCTAGAATTTTTTTTTTTTTTTGGTAACACAGTCTCTTCAGTTTTTTCTGTTTTAATTAAGTCATTCCCACACAAATCTCAGGAAACAGTATGGTAAGTTAGTGTCTTAGAAATATTTTTGTCAAAATTAGCCGTGATTTCCACTGTATCATCAAGTAGTTTCTTTCCTATTGAACTCTTCTTACTATTGTGTGGTTAAACAAGGCACACAAAGAACCTGAAACATGATAAACGCTCAGTGTATTTTAGTTATAACTTAGCTATTATATCTACTTCTTTTTCTGCCTTGAACTATTGACTTCCTAATTCTGTTTGTCATAAGAAATAGAATCCACTCTAAAACTTTTATTAGGTCATACTACATACCAGAGACACATCCTCTCTCTCTTCTTATCTACTTTTCCACTTCATAGGCATGTGAAGAACATCTCCACCAGCACAGTATTTGAGAGCCTGTCATTCCACAGCAATTGCTAGAAGACAGTGGCAGGGTATGGGCCATTCTGTGGTACCTGGGCTTTCGTATGGAACCACCCTATAAATCAAGAAAGAATTAATTTGTAGAAAGAGCTCTACCTAAAAAAAAAAAAAAAAAGGTTTGAAAACCATTGCCATAAATGTTGAACCTGGTATCATTGAATTATTTTTAGTTTGTGGGTAGTTAGGAGGGAAAAAAAAAGGATGTTTAAATTTTCAAACTTGTTAGAAAAGGACAAAATTTTCATGGTAGTGAATACTCTTTTTTTAATACTTAAACTTTAAAAAAATTGCACTCTCTCACCTCTTCAGGTCATCCAGCTAGAACTTGTTATTTTTTTATCTCAGATCCAAAGGAGAATGGCCTAGATAAAGTATTTCTGGTCATTTCCCAGTGACTGAAGTTATATGTAGTGCATCTGTTCATAGCCCTGCATGTTAGATTTTGGTATTTCTTCTTTTTAATCTGAGACTATCCTTAGGGCAAGTAGACAGTAATGAGTTAGCATGGAATATCCAGAATTTATTTCTGTTCTCTCGCCAGGGCTACATATTGATAGTGCGCCAGGATTGTACCTTGCTCAACTTGTATTTGTTTTGATGTAAGGAAAGAAATGGTGATTCTAATAAATCATTGTATTCTCTTCTCTTCTTTAATTCATTCCATTTTCCCCCCTACCCTTTTAACAGAAGTGTGGGTTTCAAAGTGCTTCATGGAGATGCCCCCAGGGACTACTGCTAGGAAGGGAAGCTGGATACGGAGTAGGGAGACAGGGTTTAGCGGGAGTACGTAACTTACCCCTTGGAAAACACGGTTTAAGAGGTGCTCTGGCAGAACATTTAAATCTGTGCTGACTCGTTGCCCCCACAAGTTAAACTGGAACTTGCATCTCACATTCTGTGGATGAGATTGGATTGATGTTTTTGTTTGTTAGTATTACAGAGGCTGTATTTTGGAATGAAGCTTTCTATCCTGGAAGAAGTGATTGTCACACACAACCAATTCTATGTTGCGAAGGCTGGTGTGTTCTTAGAAATTATGTTACTTAACATTTGAATAATGTATTTTAGTTTTTCAGAGAACACATCAGGTCTATGTTGTGCTCTAGAGCCTCCTTCTTCTATGATCACATTCAGTGATTAAAGCCACCAAAGTCAATTTTTACAACACTTAAGCAGATAGCAAGTTATTAAGATAGTTCCAGAATCTACTAAGATTTTTAAATCTTATATTTCTTCAGAATTCATAGATTATAGATGAGAAAAAATGATTTCATGTAGCATAGTGCTAAGTTATGCATTCCTCATATTTTTTTCTAGAGTTGTTAATGATTGGTGTTTATTTTTTAACTCCAGAGGTATTCTTACTGAAAAGCCTAGAGAAGTTTTTTACTTCTGAGACTTTTAAAAATTATACCTTTCATTTTCAGTTAAGCCAGATTTAGGATGTAGGATTAACAAAGAAAAATAAACATGTTGGACAATTTCAATGTCTTTCCTACTCAAGGCTTTGGAACCAGACACCTAGGTTTGGATCCCTGCTCTGTACTCAGCAACTGTTTCATCTGGGGCATAGGGCATATGGGGGAATATAAGAGTTTGAACTCTTATAAGTGGATAGGAAGCCACTAAAGAATTATAAGTAGGGGAATTAAATCATTAGATTGTGCTTTAAAACATTACTGTTGTAGCATTTAAAGGTGATGAATTGTTGGGGTAAGGTAGGACATGAATTGTTGGAGTGAATAGGTAGTCATTAAAAGAGTGGATGCAGTGATTAGGTGAGATAAGATGCCTGAGTTAAGGAGTAGAATTAGGGACTGAGGAAGAAATGGATTTGAGGGAGCTTTAAGCACTAGGTATAGATAAGATTCACTGACTGACTAGATATGGCGAGAAAGGGAAGAAGAGTCCAGATTGATTTTCTTCCTGGGTAGGGAGGTGTTCCGTGACACTGCGAACCAAGAGAAGGGTTTTGGAGGATGGGAAGGAGGTAGAATACAAGTGCACAACAGAAGACTACACGAGAAGAGATACCCAGTAGGGTCTGGAACTTAAAATAAATATTTGACTTAGAAATTACATATTTTGATGGTACGTGGAACCATAGCAGTAGATGAGCTTATAGGAATAAGGTGAGAGGTGACAAGAGAGATGAGAATAGAACCCTGAGGAATTCTGAAGATGGAAAAAGTGACTAAGGAAAGGAAGGGAACTAGAATTACTGTATTGGTGAAAACTTTTGCTATCCAGTGACTCTTTTCTTCTAATCCCCTGTGTCTTTAGCACGAGACTAAAGTGAGGAAAGGACTGGGACATGGGCAACCAACCAGAGGATAGCTTTTGGGTTTTTGGGGCTGCTTAATGGAACTTTGCGCAACTGAAGACAAAACTACTCCCTAAATAGTTGCTGCTCTCCGACTGAACACTGCTGAAACTCCAAGAAAATGTCTGTGCTGCACCTTACTCACATTAGTCTTGTCTTGATGTTGCCTCCTGAACTCACTCCTGTGCAGTTTTAACTACAATCAATATTCATTTTTATGACTAATAGATGTAATTTCTAGCCTGTGTATTACCAAAGTTAAGACTCTTTGTTGAACTTTATGTGAAAGTTAGTAACGTACATTACAAGGCATGGCCAAAAGAGATGTTCAGTAGAAAGCAGAAACTGTTATCTACAGGGTAATGTCATATAAACATAAATAGGGGAAAAAGAACATCACTATGATTTACTGATAAAGAAATTCAGCATCCTAGTATATTTTTATTTCGAAGAGGTAAACTTCCTAGACCAGTGAGTGAGTGTGGAATAGTTAGCAATATGAGGTTCAAAGTTTGGGTAAAACATTTATTTTTATCTTGGCTTTATTTATACGTATGTGTTTATTTATTTGTAGCTCTGAAGATGGCCGTAGTAGATATTTACCATTCCAGGTTAAAGGAGAGACAAAGGCGAAAAAAGTAAGTATAGAAAACTATATCTTTCTTTCAGCTTTGGACTATTGACCACATACACATACAGCCCATAAGAATGTTTCAGTTGTGGCTTTTCTTGTGACCTTGAAGACCACATTTTTCTTCTTGGGTCTCAATTTTTCCATCTGTCAAATGGGAATGATAATACCTGGCAGGGGTGGTGGTGGTTGTTGTTGTTGTTGTTGTTTTACCTCTTTTTCCTTACCCTTTTTGAAGTATTGATGACCAATGAATAATGTGTGTACATTGTTTCAAGGAAAAAAGGAACAAGGTAAATTCAAGATGCTATTAAGTTGTTACACTTTTTTTAGTCTCATTCTGACTACTTATTTTTTATGAGAGCCTTGTATCTAGAAGGATTTCAAAGGAAATTTTGAACAAGTTTCCGGCACTCTTGGTTATTCCTTCTCTTTGCAACAGAGCAAAAAACATACATTTCAGATTGAGAAATTATGGACCCCAGACCCTTGTTGGATTACAGAGACTTTAACAGTTCAGAGAAGGGTATGCAGAGGTTGTGAGTGTGTGTGAATGTGTATGTATGTGTACGCATGTTACTAACACATGGTGTTGCTAACTAGAGGTACAGTGGCATCACAACAATAGAAAGGAATGGAATTTGGGAACTATTGTGCTGATGAAATTGGGAGGCACTGCTGAGGGATCAAGATGTGAGCTAAAGCAAAGCTTACTCTCTGCGGGTCTGGTTAGCTTCTGAGAAGTGCTGAGGAAGCTTGCCCAGCCGCTCCTGTGAGAAGCTTCGTTACAAGTCAAGAGTACCTTTGATATAAATCAAAGGTTCCAGACACATAACTTTGCATGGTTTACTTAAGTTCTGCTTTGCTTAAAACACAAAATTAGAGCTAGACAGTATTGTAGAACTCAGTTGTTGAGGTTGCTATTAGATACTATGTTTTATAGTGCCCTTCCATTAAACATGCATAATATTTATTTCAAATAGTTTCAAAGCATTATGTGAATATACAGTTGTAAATGTTGAATGTGTGATCATGGTGCCCTTTTATGGATACCAGGTTTCCCTTAAATTTACGTTAAATTCCCTAAGCTAAATAGATTAATTTCTATGACAAGAACAGATTACCTTCTATTTCATCTTAAGTTATAGACATGTATTTTTCAGTATTTGTAACTGCTCATTGAGTCTTCATTCATCCAGCAAATGTTACTAAGAGACTCCTAGGCGCATGTAGAGGAAAAATGTATGATGCTTGAGAGTCTAAAATTGTATTAGTGACTGACTGACCCAGAGAACTTTGTGGAGAGTGACTTCTTTGGACCTCAGTATTTCACCTCAGAGTGTTTAGGATGGCTAATAAAAGCTGCATGTGGAAAACATTTTTAAATGTAAAACTAACTATGATAAACATTATTGTGGTTCTCATTCTAGAATTATAAGAGATCATGGATTAATCAACCTGAGGAAGTTTCAGTGTAAGTATTAGATGCTTTCTTTATTTTAAAATTTCCTCCAACATTAAAAAAAATATTTTATTTATTTATTTATAGAGATGGGGGAAGGAGGCAGAAAGACAGAGAGAGTAACATTGATATGTGAGAGGACCATTGATCAGTTGCTTCTCGCACGCCCCCAGCTGGGGACCTGGCCTGCAACCGAGGCATGGCCCTGACTGGGAATTGAACCAGCAAATATTTGGTCCACAGGATGGTGCTCAACCCACTAAGCCACACCAGCCAGAGCTCTTCCAACATTATTGAATAGTTTTAAATCATTTATGGTACTAGTTCTTAATCCAAGTGGTATATTATGATCATCTAGGAGGCTTTAAAGAATTCTGAAACTAGGGTATCACCAAGACTAATTAGTGAGAATCTCTGGGGGTAGAAATAAGGCACCCATATTTTTTAAGTCTTCAAGGCAGTAAATAAATAAGTCTTTAAGGCAGTTCTGTTGCATAGTAAGAGTTACATCATGAGAATTAATGAATCATTTCCTGGAACTGGATAGGGTAATGTTTTGGAACTAGATGTTGAACATAACCTTAAACACCAGGTTATGAAAATGTTTTTATAGAAAAATCAACAGAAAGTGATTTTTCTATTTTGTATCATAGTAGACCCAAAAAGTGACATTGAGCCTTATATGATGGTGATAATAAATCTATGAGGGGTGTTTTTTTTTTAGTGCTAAGTATGACTTCACTGTTTTAAATAATTGGAGATACCTAATTGGGCAGAAAGAGCTCCTGTACTTTTTCTTCTACAGTGTAGACTTTGTTCAGCAAATAAGAATGATGATCTCAGAGTAATTGTAATATTTAAATTAAAATGTTTATAATAGTTGTATGTTACAATACTCTTTCTTTTTCTTTTTTCTTTTTTTTTTTTTTGTAAAAGTATAAAATACTGTGGTTCACATCCGAGTAGTTAGACTCTTACAGGTTTTGACAGTCCAGGCCCCTGTTGAGTTTAGGTCAGCCAGTCATGGGCTGTCTTTTAATATAGTCATGATCATAAATATGTTACATTGTATGTCCTTCATTTTTTCACTTTCTATTACGCATTTTTCACATGATTCTGGTATTTTGAGGATATCACTTGTAACAGTTACATAATATATTGTATATATACATAAATACATATATAATATGCTTAATCTGCATTTTATTATTAGATATTTAGCATATTTATATTTTTTAATCATTAAAAATAATGCCATGATGAACTTATTTGTGAATAAAACTTTGTCTGTGTTTAGATTTTTTTTTACATAGATTCCCAGAAGCAGAATTAATAGGTCAAAGAATATGATCATTAAAACTCTTGACACTTGCTGCCAGGTTGCTTTACAAAAGATGTTATATCAATTTATATTCCTTCTAGCAGCGTACGAGGTTGTTTAACCACATTCTCACTGAGAGCTGTGGGTTGGCAAAAATAACTCGGGAGCAATTTCCCTTGCCCGTTCTATAGACAGTAATTGGTTATATTCTGGTAGCCACAATAGTGGGTTTTTGCGTCTCAATTCCTGGGCTTTCCAAGATAGGTCAGTGGGTGTCTAACCTTTATGTAGAATAGACCTTGACTCTTGCATTTATTGTAATCTCAGCTGATGGACAGAGGTCAGTGTAGCCTTATTCTTCTTTTAACTCTAGGCTGCTTCTGAGAAAGAAGCAGCTTGTGCAGTGTGGTTTCAGAGGTTTTTAATGGCCATTATACTGAATGTACACGTGACCTTAATATGGTAGGCAGAGGTTTTGGGGGGGGGGGTTTAGTCAAATTTTAAAATTATACTCCAAAATCTTTATTATCCCTGTAGTAAGAGGCAGGGAAGGGGAGAAGGCGTTAATAGTGAAAATAATCAATCTGTTGCTGCCCATCAAATTGGCTCCTAGAATTTGTGGATAAGAATGTCCGCTGCAAGAAAAGGAAAAAAAATAAGAATGTCTCCTGCAAAAGAAGAGGTTCATCTGAAAAGAGGACTTAATTAAAGTAACTGTCAGAGCTGGACAAAACTAGTCTAATTACCACTGGTGAACTGAGGCTACTCCACCCTACCAGTTGTTGGTGATGGGTTTTACTTCCCACCCCTTTGCCTATACCTCTGTTTATTAGAAATTTGGTCAGTAGTCGTCCTCAAAGTTACTGCCCCTAGCTACCCTGCGTATGTGACGGTTTACTTGCATGGCAGTTACCAAAATATAACTTCATTAGTAGTGAATTAAGTTGTGGTACTTAATTTAGTTTAGTGAAGAAATATATGCCTCACTTGAATATGTGTCGATAGGAGGAAGATTTTTGGTGACGTGCGCAAGAGATCACACACTTTTCCAGACTGATCTCTTGTAGAAGCATTATTGTGTCTGCAGGTCGATTGTTTCCCTGCAGAAATTAATACCAGAAAATTTGCCCAACATGGTTCTTGAGAAAACATGATCCGCCTTTAATTGCCTTGCTGCCAGGAATTCCTGCCCCTGGACAGATGAAGAGATAGTGAGAGGTGTGGAGGTCACCAGGGCGGGTGCTCAGCAGTGCAGATTATCTCCCGTGATACCAACCTGCCCCTGTGGCCGTGGTTGTGATGCTGTTGTTATGATTAGTGTTTTGCTTTCTTAGCTTTCCTGTTTGCTTCCTGTCATGGGTAAGGTAGTCATGTGAGGTTAGGGATAATGTCCTTCCATTTCACTTCTTATAAAAAGAAACGCAGAAAATTTAGGGATCCTTATATTCTCTCTGACATGGTTATGTTTTACGTTCTCTGTAGTAATGGAACGGCGGTATCCCAAGGAGGTCCAAGACCTTTATGAAACAATGAGGCGATTTGCAAGGATTGTGGGACCCGTGGAGCACGACAAGTTCATTGAAAGCCATGCACGTAGGTGGTTTTCTGCCTTGAGCAAGTCTGTGTGTGTTTATATAAATAGAAGAGATAATAGTGTGTGCTATGTGAAGTTCTGTAAACAAATACGTGGATATTGTGTGTGTGTGTGTGTGTGTGTGTGTGTGTGTAAGTAGGAGAGATACTGGTGTGTTTTATGTGAAGTTTTGTAAATAAATACATGAATATTTTTGTCTTTGTTTCCCTCTGTAACCATGAAATAAATTTTGGACTTTCAGGGTGGGGAAAAAGAGGTTGAAAAGCCTATTGGCTTTCTTTTTTTCTGAGATAAACAGTAGTTTATTAGTTTTTCTCTTTACTTTTTAAGAGTTTTATTTTGTTCATAAATATTTAGTGTTAAAACTAATTTTTAAAGTGGGGACAGAGTTGGAAAATTCATGGAGACAGTACTTCCATCATTCTCTTGCCTTTTTCTCTTGAAAACTCTACCCATTTATCATTAGATTTTTTTTTTCACTATAAAAAATTAAAGTTGTTAAGGCAGGAAAGCCTAGACTTGAAAGAGGTCTAGATGGGGTGGCTTAGTCTGTTCCTTCATCATGAGATTTATGTATTTGACGTAAGTTTAGTTCTGGAAGGGTACTTTGCCAAGGCTCTTATCCTGTTCTCATCATGCAGATATTTCTTATGTGACATCATCGGCATTTATCTGAACCAGGTTGGTCGTCCACACCAAACACCCTCTCTGGTTTCATTCTTTATGTGGTTTATGCCAGGTGACTGATCCTTTACTTCCTGTCCCAGTTTGTGCCATCCCTGGTTTATGTGTCACTCCAAGGAACTACACCCCATGGATTACCCAGACATTTCCTTCATCCTCTGTTTCAAAGCACCCAAATTTGAACACTCTTATGTAATAGCCCAAGCAGTGCAACCTGATCTGTGTACTCAGAGGAAGTAGAAATCCTTGGTTTATGGGAGAAACAATGCTCTTTTGTTTCCATGGAGAAAGAAATTATCTGGAACTTGAGCACAGAGCAATCTGCCCTCCCCTTGCAAAAGGGCCACGTCAAGTAACACCAGAGACAGGTGTCATCAAAGAATTTGGTTGTGTGCTAAACTCTTAAGACAGGATAAATAGAGCAGGGAAATTTGGTTGTTTAAAAAGTATGTTACTTCTATAGCTAAATGAATTCAGCCAGTTCACTCTAAGTTTTCTGAGAGACAATTCCAGCTGCTACTGGAGACAGCAGCTGGAAGACAGCTGGAGTGGGTTTTTCTCTGCTCTTGGGTAAAATTTCTAATGAGATGTTACCAACAAATAGGATTCCCCAAATGGAATGACCCAGTCGTTTATATAATGCAGAATTTCTGAAAATATACAGTAGAAAATTGCTCATTAATGTTGATTTTGTATTTCCCATTTTTCTCCTTCGTTCTTTTTGGGATAAACAGTTGAATTTGAACTCCGAAAGGAAATCAAGAGGCTCCAGGAATACAGGACAGCAGGCATTACCAATTTTTGTAGTAAGTACTACATGCTGTATCAGAGGACAGATGTCTTCCTAACACATAAAGGAAGGCACTGAGGTGGTGTCGATTTTTAAAACAAGTTTTCCTTTTTCAGGATGAGATTTTAATCCTTCCAGCAAAGTTTCATTTATTTAATCCTTATAAATACTATTACATGATTTACCTGAGGTAAAATAAACATGAAAACACAAAAGAGGCACTGCTTTAGATTTAGGATTTTACTGTGGCCTCTTAAAACAAAAAAGGATTTTGTATTCTAATTTTTAGGCTCAGCCTTTTAAAATTTAGCGGTGCATGGCCTGATCATTCTTACTACCCAACCTTCAACTGGCTCTAGGTACTTGCATTTCAGTTACTTGAGGGGTTGATGTCAATTACATTAATAGCAGCTAACATCTCATAGAAACAGTTTGCCATGTGCCATGCCCTACACTAAGCCTGTCACCTGGCTCATCAGATAGGTATTGTTATTTCCATTTAACGAAGAAACTAAGGTTGAAGGTGATTATCAATTATTTTTTTAAAGACTTTACTTTTAGAGAGGAGGGAAAGACAGGAGAAAGGGAGAGAAATATCGATCAGCTGCCTCTCACACACCCCCAAATGGGGACCTGGTCTGCAACCCAGGCATGTGCTTCAACTGGGGATCGAACCAGGGACCTTTTGGTCTGGAGGCTGGTGGCAGGTTTAAAGTGATTAAAGAGCCATGACTAGCGTGGCCTGGTGGGTTGGGCATTGTTCTGCCAAGGGGTTGCTGGTTCGATTCCCAGTTGGGGCACATGGGTTGTGGGCCAGGTCCCTGGTAAGGGGCACGTGAGAGGCAACCAAGTGATGTTTCCTTTGCACATCAGTGTTTCTGTCCCTCTCTTTCTCCTTCCCTTTCCCTCTCTCTAAAAATAAATAAAAATAAAATCTTTAAAAAGTGAAATAAAATCAAGTGATTAAAGAGATAGCTACAGTAGAGCCAGTCATAAGGGAAGGCAGTGCAGTACAGTAGTTGAGAGCTTGAGGTCTAGGTTTGCACAGTCTGGGTTTGGATTCTGGCTCTGCTGTTTCCCAGATCTGCAATTCTGGTCCAGTTTCAACTTTCCAAGTCTCATAGAATTAGTATAAAGATAAATTAGGGAATGCATGAAAACATAGTACAGTACCAGGCACACAGTAAATCCTCAATAAATGGCAGTTTCTATTTCGTTGTTACTATCAGAATGGTCTTTCACATTCTCTCCTTTTTCCTGTTGGTTGAAAGCAATCATCCAGTACCCATATGAAGTAGCCCTATGGGTGTAAATTTAGCCTAGTATTTTTTGTTTTTGTTTTTAAAGATTTTTATTTATTAGCGAGAAGGAGAGAGAAAGGGAGAGAAAGGGAGCAAAACATCAATGTGAAAGAAAAACACCAATTAGTTGCCTCTCATATGCGCCCCGACTGGGGACTGAACCCAGGCATGTACCCTGACCAGGAATTGAACCCGTAACCTTGGTTTTGTGGGATGATGCCACAAAACCAGCTGAGCCATTACCGGTCAGGACAATGGTTCTTTGTTTTTACACCTATTTCAGGTGTAGAACCCAGAACCACCAGGATGTGATGGTGCCCGGCTAGTCATGTCAGCCCTGATAGATTTTCTCAGTCCTCCGGGGCTCTGTGGAACACAGTGTGAAACCAGCTGGTGCGGCATTTTGGAATCCGTATCCCTCTGTATAAAAACACCATGCAATTTTCGTTTAGCCATATGCATATAAGGACTCCGATTCCAGGGTTTGGTTACCTGATATTGGTTGCCTCTGAGAAAGAAAGGAAAGGAACAGTACTGGTCAGTGAGGACTTGTTTTTATATGTTCTTCTGATTGTTTTTTAAGGAACAGTGTATGCTTATAGCACTTGTGTGACTCTGAAAAATATATGGATAGAAAAATAGAACAGGAAGCAAATATAACTATTAAATGTTAATTACTTTTGGGGGTCGAAATATGAGTCACCCTTACTCTCTTTCTACTTCTCTGTTTTGGGTTTGTTTTTTTTTTCCCCTCCTCAAAATTTCTTAAAGGTAGAAAAGGAATAAAAATATTTTAATTTCTTGTCAAAAAAGGGATTTCAAACTAGGAGAAATCTACTTTGCTCTTGGAAAAATAATTGTGGAAGCAGTTTTGCAAAGAAACCAAAACAAAGACAAACTGTTTGTTACACTCTCTTAGTTCTGCATTATCATTGCGGTTGTGGTGTTTTTTTTACACCTCCAGGTGCCAGAACCTATGATCACCTCAAGAAGACGCGAGAGGAGGAGCGCCTTAAACGCACCATGCTTTCCGAAGTCCTCCAGTACATCCAGGACAGCAGTGCTTGCCAGCAGTGGCTCCGCCGGCAAGCTGACATGTGAGTCATTAGTCCAGGGTGAAGGAGCATCCTTTTGGCCTTTACATGTATTTTCAGGCATTTCCACAGGCACCCTACCCATGGCAGAGTAATAATAATTGGGTAACTGCAAGAATTCAGAAAACTTTAGGAGTCTGTCTCAGAAACAATGCAGTACTGATAGTTTCGAGAAACATTACTGGCTTCCTGGAATCCTACTTTGCTGCTTTGATCTTATTTTTAAAGATACATAAATTTTCTCTACCCATGTGTTTTCCCTCCCTCCATATCTGTTGGTACAATGTCCATTGAAGAATCATGTCCCTGTCTTTCCTGTGAATGATCTTTGTGATGTTCTGGGTTAAGAGCTCTTAACAAATCCAGCTGATCTCCCCTCTGAGATCAGATGTCTTTTCCTGGTCAGTCCAGTGGGGTGGCCTGTATAACACGTGCAGTCTATCTCGTTATATCTTTTCAAAGTAACCAGCCAGGTAAATGGCCACCAGTCCAACATGGGCTTTTGAAAATTGCCACCTTTGGTGTGACATAAGTTTATAAATTCTTCTTCTTCATTGTAGTGATTCCGGCCTGAGTCCTTCTGTTTCGATGGCTTCGAATTCAGGTAATTATTTTTCAAGCTAGAGCAAGTCTTGATTGTGAAGTTTTCATTCTAGAGATTGTGGTGACCCAACAGTCTCTCCCTACTCTGCGGGATCGGGGTGCTTAGATAGAGTAATGCTAATTACATGTTGTCCCAATTTATAGACATCAGCAACTTTGCAGAATCTTCATGGCCAGACAGGGACTATCCTCAGGGTTAAAGTACAGAGACCAGGAAGAACAAGCTCCAGAGAGGTGGTTTCTTCATTTTACCAATGTCTGCGGGCACTTAATTTACTCTGGTTATTTCTACCACCGATTTTGAGATTTGTCTCAAAGGGCGAAAAAAATAAAGGTTTTTTATCATATAAAATATATGAGCAAAGAGGCATGTCACCTGCCAAAAACTCAAGGGTTTCTTTTTAAGTTGGAGAGTTAAGGGATTCTATTTCTTACTTTTACCTCTTTGGTTATGTCCTATTTTTAGTATAGTGTACAGAGCTAGATAGATTAAGCCATATGCTCTCTGATAATCCTTGGTGCTCCATATGGTAGATTAGCCACTTTCCTGAATCAGAACATACAGGCCACTCCACTGATTAGAAACAGACTAGTCTAAAAGATGACCCATTTGCAGTTTTACCATTCTTTGGAAGTTCGGAACAGACCTGCGAGGATCCTGTTCAAATTTCTCAGTAGATTCAAGATCTAAACAGGACTCAGAGGAAGGCCACCTCAGGGATGATATTTTTTTTCATTGATTCCTTTGTTTCAATTAATTATTTTTTCATGCTTAAAGGAGAAAAGGGAGTTTTTTAGGGAATAGCCAAAAACAGCAAAATACAATCTTATTTTATAAGTTTCTTACTTCCAGTCTGTCTCCATCAATCTAAGTACAGATACATAAATAACTTCATACTGGCTAATTAGCATGAATGCACTAACATGACCATGCAACTTTGGCGTTCGTGTTTTCTGAACCGTCTACACTCACTTACTCTTTCTTGCTTCCTAGGCTGGTGTTAGCCTTCTTCACCCCCTGTATTTGGGTTGAGGAGACCCCTTGCTCCTCACGTTCTGAGTTGGTCCCAGGGCAGTGCACACTTACAAACCTGGATCTTTGATGGTCACTTAACCTCTGGTAATGTTGGTGAGGCAGCAAGTGATTTTAGTCTCCTTTTTAGTGTAGGGAGTCCTGATGTGGAGAAGCCTTTATCCCCTTTGTTGATTTTACAGAGAAGCATATTTTCTAGCAGAGCAGCCTATTAGCAGCCCCGCCCCTTTCTGTTCACCACCTAAAAGGCAACGCCCATTAAACTTACATTATTCTACATTTTCTTTTGCTTAACTCAGTCTGTCCATCCCCAGCTGAACACTAATCTCAAGCATTCAAAACAAAACCAAAAATTTTTGCACATCAAGCTTCCCATCCTGGACATTGTCCTTGTACTCAGAGTTCTTTCTCAGGTATGAGTTCGCCTCAGCCTCTACTTTGCCGTATAATAGCTCATTGTTTCTCTGTGAGGATCTTTCCTGTAAACAGAGTTACTTTGGAAGGAAAAGATACTCACTCACATAATAAATAAGAAGGGCCTGTTGCTGGCCTAACAGTCTGCCTTTGATCTGAAGGCAAATGGTACTTGGTTAATTACCGTGTTTGCCTTGTACTGCTGGCAGAGTGGCCAGGGTTCAGGAATGTCTCCTGCAGAGTTGTTATTTCCATTCATCAGCGTCGAGGCAGGTAGCATATGACCTTTCTTAACTGCATGAGATCTGGGCTTTCGATTTCAGAATCTCCTATTGCTTTGAGAAGAAATGGGTAATAACTACTGTGTTAAGTAATCATATTTGATGGGGAAATATGTGTGATTATATATGTATTTTAACAGAGCAAAGGACACACAAATTACCATTTTGATTTTCCAGGGAACATTGTGGTGCCCATGTTGCTAGTTAAACCAGGGCCTGAGGGGACTGGTGGAAATTTCCTGCAGCTGCATATAATTTTGTTATACTTAACACTTGAGGAATTGTCACTCCTATGAAATATGTGTCCTTTTCTCTCTGTGTTTATAGGTAGACGAAGTGCGCCACCCTTGAACCTCACAGGCCTCCCTGGCACAGAGAAGCTGAATGAAAAAGAAAAGGAGGTAACAAAAAGAAAGGGAGCTAGAAGGAAGAGGCTGATTTATCATTGAATTGCCATTGCAGGAATAAACCCGTTTTGCTCTGCTTATCTCCCAACATGCACAGCTCTGGTCCATCCTGGAAGGCTAAGAGCTAGCTCGGCAGGTCTCAAAGGACTCCTTTCTTATCACCTTGCCACCATTTGCCTTCTGAGAGGAGAACATATGATATGTAAATCTAAATAATAGCAAATGTCATTTACTGAGCATTTTCCATGGTACCAAATACTAAGTACTAAGTGCTTTATGCGAATGAAGTTAATTTTTTATAAACCTAAAATAACATATATGGAAATGGTTACTTCCTATTAGAACAGTCACTGAGTAGTTCTACCCTTTTTCCAACAGTATAACCATTGCATAAAAGATTTTTGGAATTGTCACCATAGCATGCTTATAAGCATAAAGGAATTCATTGTCATATGTAGTCACATATTAATTTTGATTTAAAAATGGCATGACTCATTTTTCTTTTCTATTATGATCATCAGACTTGTGTGCATATTACTTTGGCTATTTCTTAAAATTTAAATCCAGCCCCAAAAGAGTAATTATCAAGTGTTTTCAAAAAAATATGCCGTGGCTTGGAAGTTCATTCCAAAGGTGGGATTCCTCTTTTTTCCCTTATATGCTCCTTTTACATTTCCCAAGATCAGTGTCCCCATGTGCCACTTTGTACCATTAATTCGAGCCAGACAGTATGGAAGAGTCAGGGAGAAAGGATTCATATTTGTCTTTTGTCTTATCCACTAGAAATAGTAAAGATTTGTTTTGGAGTAGAAGGAAGTATATTTTATATCCAAACATTACTTTAAAAAAAAAGAAAGAAAGAAAAAAGAAAAAGAAAAGGTCACAGGCCATTCTGATTGAAGCATTGAATGGCCTGGAGTTTGAAGCAGTTTTTAATCCTTACCCACAAAATGGTGACCTTAGACTGCTCATTGCTGCATTGATGGCATGTAAACTGGAATGAGCCAGCTTTCTCGATTTGTAGTAGCTACAGTGGCCTCTTTTAGCAAGGTCTCTATATCTCCTCTCCCTCAAAAGTAGGAAACATATCACAAAAGCAGGGACTACTACATTACCGATACTAAAAATAATGTGATTCACACATGGGAATCCAGGTATCCGCACCCCTACCTCCACCAGGCCCTGTGGCTCTTCCCTGACTGGTGGTGTTGGAATGTGTTGGGCCTCTACGCAGGCTGCTCTGCAGGACACATGCTTGTGTTCCCTGACAAACACAGGTGAGCCAGCCAACACGTGCTAAAGGCTCTACCAGCATCACATCCTGGCTTTCTCTTCCAGAGTGCCTGTCTTTAGTGAGTATTCTCTTCAGAGAAGAAACTAAATGGAATGTAGTTCAGCCACCCAACAGCTCCTGTAAATAGTTGGAGGTTGATGTCACTTATTAAATTTTATTTTGGCTGTACCTGCTGGGTTAAATTATGAGAATGATAGATGTTAATGTTTATTAAATGTGCCATGTCTTACAGCTCTGTCAGATGGTGAGGTTGGTCCCAGGAGCCTACTTAGAATACAAATCTGCTCTGTTGAACGAATGTAACAAGCAAGGAGGCTTGAGACTGGCACAAGCAAGAGCGCTCATCAAGATAGACGTGAACAAAACCCGGAAAATCTATGATTTCCTCATTCGAGAAGGATACATCACTAAAGCCTGAGGCTCTATGGGCTTGGGATCTGAAGTCACAAGTTTGGAATGTGGTGGACCAAAGGACAGTATGGATATTCTTGAGATGAATTCTCATTACAAAAAGAGGGAAAAGGACATAGGAAACCTTATGTTGTAATAATGTCTACTTTATTCTCCACCCTGCTTTAAAGCACTGTTGTTGTTGGTATTGTGCTGCAGAGTTGTGCTAGAGAAGCTGTTATTAAATGTGAGTGGGCATTCTTTCCCAACACCTCTTACAGCTAAAACAAGAACCATAGTACCTCACATGACAGTGTTGGTAGAAATAGAACTAAATCAGTCTTTAGTCCCAGGGGTCCAGCCCAGACCCTTGTACTTGAGTGGTTGAGTTTATCTGTTTTGCCTTTAAACAATACAGACAGATTTAAAGAGAAAGGTTATAGAGCACAAGAAAGCTTTCTGTTTCTCTTCTGAGGATTTTTTAAGTTGACAACTTATGTTTTCGAGCAAAGGGGAGGAAACTATTCTCATGGTGGTCTTGTCCCCAAATGGATTTTTTTCTTTATTTTTATTGTTGACGCTATTACATATGTCCCCATTTCCTCCCCACTTTGCCTTCCTCCACCCAGTCCCCTCCCCCACTCCACCCCAAAACTGCATCTTTAACTTTAATGTCTGGCTTTGTACTTTGCAGTCTGTCTAATCTGCAGTAGGCTTTTGAGGAGGTGGCATTGGATGTAAAATGTCTCTCTTATTTTTAGAATTAATGGATTAAAATGTTTTGCTGCTTAATTTGTGGGTGTGTCAAATATTCTGGTAACTAAAGCACAGTTAAGGTGTTGGATGCCCGCCTCATCATGCTGCACTGTCTCTCCTGGCATGTGTGTCCTGGACTCACCCTGTTCTTACCCTGGGTTTCCCAGGGTACCAGGCCCCTGAGGACGGGGATGATGCAACGAACCTCCCCTTTACTTGGATTGAGACCCGAACCCTAATTTCTTAATGGGGAAAGGCTAGCCTGCAATAAAAGCTACTTTTAAAACAAAAGTAAACAGTTTCATGTATGGGACTCAGTAGGTAAAGAGGGTCAGTAACCCTGCCACGTCTGAAACTTGGTCCTCAAAACTTTCTGCAGAACAAGAAGCCAAACTCAGAGTCATGGCTATCCCATTTCCATTAGAAGGAAAGTTGTATGTAGAAATAACTTAAGAATTGGCACAAATGATCTCTAGGAGCCGATTCTTTAATTCTTTGAACATTTAAAATATCCAATTAAAATATGTTTTGTTGGAAGTATCTGCTCAAACTTTTTGACTGATGTAAATATGCATGCAGTTTGCTAATAGACTTCATCTAGGGGGTTACAAATGACAAGGAAACTCTGAGGATCTGAAGGAATGAGAATAATTAAAGACTTCAATCTTTAAAAAAGGTGGCTTGTGGAAATGGTCTCTCTCTGCACACTCATCTCTCTTAGAAAAACATATTCTACCACCATTATCACCCTCAGTTGGTTATAAAGGGATTGCCTCTTACCCCTTGAAGGCAATTCCGATTTTAAAACTTCGGGGTGCATTAGACCTCAACATCAGGTGACGTCTACTGTAGTCTGAAGAGTTCTTAATTTTGATTAAGGAAGGCTTCCTGAGAGAGGTGAGCTTTTGAGGCAATGATGAGAGAGAGAAGAGAGAGACAATTTGGCAGATGGAAGTGGAGGCTGTTTCAGACATCGTGGGCGGAGGATGGCGTGGAGGCAGCAGTGGGAGCAAGGAACACGGTGCCGAGAGAGTCAGCTGTCTAGGGCACGGGCCGCCATGGTCTGCAGGAGAGGGAGGGCGGTAGGGCAGTCTGACAGAAACCTTGGGACTGGTCGAACTCTGAAAAACTGATGGGGGAATCTGTAGATTTGCTGAGGAAAAAAGGCATGGTTGACAACAGTGATAGAAAAATAAGGCTGTACTTTCAAATAACTGGATTTTAAAGGTAGGATTATCGTTGTTTTGGTAAAACCAATGTTGCAAAATTTAAGACCTAGAATACCTAGGGGGATTCTCAAAGATCAGGTGGTATTTTAGGTGATGAGTACTCTTGAATGGTGTCACTAGGTCACTCTCTTTTTGCCTTTATGATAGAAAAGCACTTGCTGATATATTGATATGGCTAGCTTAAGTACATTATTTTCCTTCCATGTTCTTATCACTAAAGGAAGGCCCTTTTTACTAAAAATCTAGAGCTAGCAAGGGCATTTCAGAGAGCATTCCAGCTACATTAATAAAGGTCTCAGTCCAGATCATCTCAGAAGAGAAACACTGTACTCTGAAACTCGACAACATGAAAGATGACTTTCTTTTCTTTTCTTTTTTTTTTTTTTTTAAGATTTTATTTATTTACTTTGAGAGGAGAACGGAGGGGGAAAGAGGCATGTGGAATTGAATCGGCGGCCTTACAGTTCGCAGGCCAGTACTCAATCTACAGAGCCACGACCAGCCAGGGCTGAATAAAGACTTCTTACTGTTAGGAATTTTTATTGGGATTTAGCATTAAAGGTTTTGCTGACATTTTAAGCGTATCCTTCTCTTCCAGTGCTGGGAAATGGAGAACAAATGTCTGTCCCTGTAATGATCCTTTCCTGTGCCTAAAGACCTAGACTGTCTCTCCTGAGACCAATTATTTGTGGTTTATCCTTCCTTGGATTCTCTCGTGTTCATCCTTTTACTGTTTACAACTTCCACCCATTTAAAATCTGAACTCAGTAGCTAATTTAACAGTCCTTGCTGAGCGAGAAGAACAAGATGCCCATTTTTTGTAATGAAATCACCAGATTGTGGTTAGCTGGAAGAAGAAAACCAATGACATCAAAAACAACAAAATTCCAGTTAGTAAGTCATTCTAGCTTTAGGAAATATGTAGATACGTAATAAAAGAACTAAAATATCTAGTGTGAAGAAGCGGAGATCCAAATTACGAAGAGAAGCTTGGAAAAAACTTGTTCACATTTACTCCAAAACATTCTCCTCTGGTCTTCACTCAGGAGAGTAGTGTTATGTTCTAAACAGCATTCTAGAATGTGGTTCATCCATTTTTAAGGATCTTCATGGATGTCTTCTAAATATACACTGTATTATTGTTAGCACAAAAAGCTTTTCCACAACTTATATATACCTGTCTTTTTATTTGTTTAAATTTCTGAAGTTTGATTCAAGAGGTACTGATCTGCAAGCTTTGCTTTCCTTTCCCATGGGCTTAGACCAGATATGTTTAACCTCTTCCTCATCTGCCAGAAGGGGCTGTCTCTCGTATAGTGGGGACTCTACCATATCTATGGCCTTGTGTAGAAGAGGTAGCTTGGCTAAGACATAGGATTTCTCTTCAGTCAGACATAACAACCACCCCTTCTGAGTGAGATTGAGCAGGATCTCAGGGCAAGCAAGGCCAGAGCACCCTGGTTAGGATAGTAATGGTCATGCTGACAGGCATTTAATTTGGGAGTGAGAACAATAATGGAGAGCATTTAACTAGGGAGTATTTTGGAACCTAAGCCTAATAGAGGAAATATGCATCAGAGCTGAGTATTAGGGTACTGCTTTTGAGGGGTTGAGGTGAATACTTTCTGAGAAGTCTGGAAAGCATGTTTCTAGATCTAATGGGACAGAGTTTTTTTGTTGAATGTTTACTTGGTGCCTTGGCTTCTGTGAGTTGAGATGTGCTGGGATGAAAGCATTAACTGCCCTTTGATTTGACTGGCCTTCTAGTCAAGAAACCTGGATATTTGAGGAAAGGATGAATGTCTTGCATCTGACATTAAAATGCCTTTGTCACTATGAGTTACTGGCTTGGTATGCATTGTATACTGGGGCCCCTTCCCTGTTAAGAGTAGGAATAAGGAAGTTGAGATAAGAATACAGAAAGTGACTCTTAAGTGGTTTAAAACCCCAAACTGAAGGATACAAAAAATTCTAATATCACCATCATTGTTTTGAAAGTCCTATAGTTAATCTTTGCCGGTCCAAACTTGTTTTGTGTCTTTGAGGACTGGATAATTAAGTCTGATGCACTTATTTTCTACTTTGCAGCACAGGGGATAGCATCAAACTAACTTGGTAGAATTAATCTTTCCTTCTTAACCAAGCAACACAGGTTTTTGGTTTTTTTTCAGCCTAGGGCCTTCTGTGACAGAAAGCTTCCAGGCGGCTTGCTAATTAATCTACCTTGATCCAAAGTTTATGTTGAACAGAAGCAGCATCTTTGGAAGTGAGAAAAGAAGAAGGCCTCGTAGTGTTAAGGAACCAACATTTTTTTCTTAATCGAAGCACAACGTTGAAATGCTGTCATCTTATCACCCTTATTCAATAGTGAACTGACAGCTAAGTGCCAGCTCATGACACTTCTAATGCATCTCTCTCCTCCTTGAAGAGCTGTCTGCCAAGCGTACTCCCTGTTTCTGAAGTTGCTTGTAATGACCTAACCTTCTCTTTTCTCCCATTGAACAATAATAACTGATTTGGATTTTTTCCTTATCATCCTTCATGTAGAGGATTCCTTTAAAACATAAAACATATATTCTTTAAAGAAATTTTTTAAAAATGTAATGGAGCCCTGCCCAGTGTGGCTCAGTTGGTTGGGCATTTCACTGCGAAGCAAAAGGTCACCGGTTCAATTCCTGGTCAGGGCACATGCCTGAGTTGCAGGCCTGGTCCCTAGTTGGGGTACGTGCAAGAAGTAACCCATCAATGTTTCTTGCTCTCTTTCTCCTTCCCTGTCCCTCTCTCTAAAAATAAATAAATTTTAAAAAATTAATGAAATCTGTACTATGGAGCTTGATTTTAATGTTCCCAATCAACATCCTATACAAGAAAATTCATTTTGAATTTGGGCTAACTGATATTTATTTCAGTTTCTAATGGTAGGATGGCTAAGATGAAAAGGACAATTTTCAGGGTAATTTAATAGGTTTTCCAAAACAAATTATTTAAAGGGAGTGAAAAGTTCAGAAATGCCATGAAGACAGCTCCCCAACCAGGGCTACCTATCCTAGGGAGGGTGGAAGGTGCTGATTTGGACTTTGAACTTTGGTAGAGGAGGAGGGGGCAGCAGTGTTCGAACCCTGATACCATGGGAATTCCATGGGAATTTGTTGTCTGCTTTGGAGAGGAGAACAGCTTTTCCATACAGTATCGTGTTAGCCTCTTACTAATCAAGATCAAGCTCAGCAGAAAAAGCCACTCTACTGGAGACAGGAGCCAGAGCCCTTATTTTTTGCCCAAAGGAGAGTACTTTGATATATTTTAAAGGGCATTTCAGTGATAGCCACAGGTAGGTGACAGAAAGGTCAACCTTACCTGGCATCCTACCCCCTCCCCCACACATGAAAATCTCTGCCTTGTTTCAGGCACGCACGATTTCAGATGGAAGACAGCCATCAAATTTAAGTCAGCATAGTTTTAACTTTATGATGCAAAGCAAAAACGCTTTTGAGAGCAAAATCTCCCAGGAGTGCCTTCCACCCCCAGCAACTACACAAAAGAAGGTGTCTGCTGGGGAGAAGGGCGGCTATAGACGTCATTGCATCTTCCATCCAGATCCCAGCTGTGACCTGGCTCAGGATTTTATAGTTAAAAATAACCATGGCTTAGAGTTGGGGGAAAAAAGTAAACTGTTGCGTCTCCATGGAAACTAGGAGAAAGAAAAAGGCAAGCCATGGATTTGCGGCAGATGTGGCAAGGTGGGGTGGATATAGGGCCTGGGAGCTTAGAGGCCCTCTGGTGAAAGGAGATACACCTGATTAGCATCCAGGATGTAGCTAGACATTGTTCCTGGGCTCTGGAGATGCTGCAGCCAAGGTATGTTTGCAGCAACAATGTGTACATCTTGGGTTGGGGTTGGGGAGAAGAATAATTTGAGGTTCCAATTTTGCTGTAACAGGTTTGCTACTATTTGGCAAAGCAAAGAGCAGATGAGCTACAGTAGGTTAGATGTTGCCTTCTAAACAATCTGGGAACCTCCACTACCTACCCCCATTCCCATCCCTCTCTTTCATTTGCATGGTCAGAGACTTGACATGAGGAGTAGCCAGGTGTAAGCAGAGGGGAAGTGTTCAGGCTCTTGGGCTGACATGGACATTTACTCCCTCCCAGTAGGACCAGGTTTTTTTTCCTTTGGTGTAGCAGATTATGCAAAGTGGCGTTAATTACCTAGGATGTCCCTAAAAGTTTGCGTGTCTCTTACAATTTCTGGTATTGTTACTACCAGAGGTGACTCGAGGGGAAATATTTCTTCATTTCTCCTTTCTTTAAACGTTTCTTTAAGGACAGTTTTTGCAGAATACGTGAATACATTCTAGTTATAATTTTTTTTAAACCCCTCTCTTTTCCTGTTTACATTAAGAGTTTATATGCTTTCTTGTTTACCTGCCTGGTGTATTGGAAAGATCTGAGTGCTAATGCTTCTTCTGCTCCTTAATAATAACACAGCCTTGGGCAAGTTTCTCAACCCCTTGTGTCTAAAGTGTGCTTGATAATACCTCCCTGACTGAGTCTGATGAAGATTAAGTGGAATAAGGCATACTAACCACTTGGCACCTCCCTTTCCCTACCCGTGGAGCCTTTGATATTTTTGTTTAACTTTGGCCGGTTATAAGCAAACACTTGATTTTCCCATACCACACAATTCACACCAGGGTAAGAGAGAAAATACTCTTAGAGAGAAAGTCTCAGAGAGAGGTACTAAGATCTGAAAGACACAGAGCAAATGTTAAAACAGGCAGATGCACATTTCCCAAGGACATTGTTTATATTGGAATTCTCATCACTGTGCATCATTGCCACAGCCCCAGGGATGAATTAAGGGCAGAAAATTTCGGAGACAGATACATATTAAATGACCTAGTTATCCTAGACATGTTGTAATATTCCCTTATATAATGCCTAGCTCAAGAAGCCTGTAGTCAGATTACAAATCTGTGCACACTATGATTATCACTGAAAAATTATGTATAGTAAAAAGACCAGAAAGAAAAGATGCCAACTGTTGTTTGTTAAGTAGTAAAATTACAGGTATGCATTTGCACTCTCTCTTTGGTAATGTGACATTTGTTTATTAATGGAAAAATAAATTTTATGAGAACTATAAATATTCTAAAAATAGAAGTCGAAAGTATTTTATATTAATAAAATGTAGTTAATCCTTATGATAACCATACGAAGTACTATGTTACATCTTATAAAATAGCACAAGCCTTAGGCAATTTCTGTAGTCGATGAAATGTGTTTCGGGACTTCTGTCTCCTAGGTCTTTTATCTCTTCCACATTTATAGAGTTTCCTCCCAGATTCCTGGTGTCCTCTGTCCCTTTGAAATGTGCCAAAGGACAAAAGCTTGAAGATTTACTTCTCAGGGGGAGAGCGGTATTGCATTTTAACTACCAATGGATGGCATATAATCTGGAATTACAGGCATTAGCAAGAGGGGATTTGAGACATCTGTGACCGACAGCACCTGATGGCAAACTTCTGTAGACCAAGGAGCACTGACCACTGCGTTCCCCAATGCTGACAGATACATCAAAGCTGTTGTCCATTTGTTGACCAGAGGCAATGATACAAAAGGAAGATGCAGCTATGCTTTCTGATGGACCTATATAGGTCTGATTAATCTAAGGAGTACAAGCAGTTAAGGAGAGTATTTTTGAAAAGGCAGACACCAGAAGCCAAGCAGAGTAGAAGTTTCCATCCTCCACTTACTGTATCTACTCAGATCAGCTCTCATTCTGGACAGAAGCTGCACCACTCTAAAACAATGCTTATTTAGATGTAGTCAGGAGTCCCCACACTGCCCTAGGCATAGACAAGTCATGCTTTGTAGCAGATGATATCTAAGATGTGTTAATATTTAGATACTTATAGGCACCTATAAAGATACTTATTTCTAGTCTAGTCATGTGCTGTCCAGAAAGGTGGCCACTAGCCAGTCTCATGTGGCTATTGAAATTTAAATGTATTAAAATTAAAAATATAGTTCCTCAGTCATGCTAGCCACATTTCAAGTGCTCAAAAGCCACATGAAGCTAGGGGCTACTGTACTGGACAGTGCAGATATAGAACATTTTCATCATAGTTCTATTGGACAGTGCTGGTCTTGAAGATAATACGTTCAAGTTCCTTTTTTTTTTTTTTTTTTTTTTTGTACAGGCATATAGAAGCCTACACTTGCACTATAAAGGCATGAAGCACCTCCCTACCCACAGGCCTGTGTGTACAGTCACTAAGTGATCTTGCTGAATATAGCACTTCTTTCTGCTTTCCTTAATCTCTAGATCTTTACAGATGCATCACACTCAACACAAAGTCTATGTTAGCTCTCCTCCCTCCTCTTCACAGATGAGGATATGATTCTTCATGGTAGTTTTAGTTCCTATAATCCATGAAAACGCCCTGCTCCTTGTTACTAACTAGAGCTGTTCTGGAAACCTGCCTTGTGGGTAACAAACAAGCTTGAATCTGAAGAGGGATGTATCTATTTGTGCTGCTGAGTCACTGAATTGACTGAAGGAAAGACTGTAGGGGGAGAAAGGAATAAAAGTGACATACAATAGTTCCTATTAGAGATTTTGCTATTTTAGTACTGGCATGTCAAAAATAAGTCACTACATGAATTGATGGTGGAGCAATCTAGTGCTGGGAAGATGCCTTTCGCAGGCAATATTCTCCTGCAGAAAGATTAATTTTGCCTAATTTTAAAGCTTTGATTCTCTATTTATGAAGGCAAAATAAATCTCTCCATCCTAGGCCTTTTTAGCTCTCCTAAGATGATCACGAAAATGCCTTTGATGTTATGTTTTTGTCTGGGAAGCTAACAGAACTTTTAGATATTCCTGCACCCGTGGGATGACACAGAGTGAGTCTGGGAACTAGAAACTGTGAAAAAGCCTCATAGCTTTTTAGTTGAAGATGCCAGATGCCGAGAGATGTAAACCCAAAATGCGGCCTTTACTCCCCTCATCAACCCCTCCCCCTAAACCTATGACTGCTCGTTTGATTGCTCAGCTGTTCCGATGCCAACGATTTACAACGGTGAGGAGATGGATCTGGTGGTGAGTAAAGGGCTGGGCGTGGAGTCAGGACTTTTAGGTGTCTGACTCACCACAGAGCCCCGAGGAAGTCGTTTATACCTCCCCTCACCTGCCAGGGCAGGACTGTGTTGACAAAGTCCGTTTTGCATCTACTCATTTACAGATGGGCCAACCTAAATTAAAAAAAAACGACCCTCAGAGTGACAACATATAAACCCTCAACGAATCCGTATGTTCAGCCTGGGCTCAGTAAACCCTGCATCCCTACCTCAGAGGCACGGGCTAGGGATGGGGGTTTGGAGACTCAGATGGCATCCGCGTTGGTGGTGGTGGTGGGTTGGCGGTCACGGGCAGGCGAAGGATGGCCGTATCTACAGCTACTTTTCTGTCTCGGACAATATAGCCTCCCACAGTTTCTGGAAACCACCCACACCTGGCCAAGCAAAAGTGATCCAACAATTACCATGAGCTTTATTTTCCCTTCACTCTTCGATCCCAAATCCCGGGCACTCCGGGCAGGATTGAAGGTGGGGGTGGGGTGAGAGTCGGTGATTGGTCACCAACTGCAGTCTTCACCCCTTTTATAATAGTCATTTTCTTGCCTTTAACCCTCTCAAATCCAGAAAGAACTCTAGTACACCGGCCCCTGCACCGGGGTCTCAAATCTAGCTTGTAAACGTTGAAGTGGGAAAGGGAGGGAGACAGATAATAAGACAACAGAGAACCCCTAAACAAGATCTGCTAGGGGAAGCGAGTGTCACAGGAGCTGGGGGCGCGCCCGGGCCCAGCCGCTCGGCGATTGAGGGCGCAGAGCGCACGCGCGCCGCCCGCGGCTCCCTGCGTCCCTTGCTGGCTGCCCCCGCCCCCCCCCCCCACCGCGCGCACTTCCCCCGCTGAGGCTCCGCCCTCCGCCCCGAGCACCAGCCCCCCCCACCCCAGGAGAGGGCGGTGGAGCTCAGGGAGCGTGCGCGCCGCCCGCCCCGGGCGCGGGCGGAGGTGAGAAGGGGGGTTGAGCGCGGCGGCCAGTCCGCAGAAGCCGGGAGCTGCGCTGGAGGAAGGAGCATCAGTCTTGATCTCAGCGGAACCGGTACGTGGCCCGTGGCCCTCGGCCCGGGTGGAGGGCGGAGGGCGGGCGGACGAGACTTGGCGCCGATGAGGCTCTGGAGCGCTGGTGGTACGGAACGGCCAGGGCCCCGCACGACCCTCCTCTTTGGAAACTTTGTGCCGGCGCCCCCACCTGCTCCCAGGGGTTCTCGCATCCTCAGGGTGGCAGGGAGAGGAGAAGCCCGGGGCCCTCCGCGACGCCCCCTCCTCAGTGCGCAGCTCCTGCTTCGCTGGCTCTCAGCGCGCACGTCCTGCTGTTCCCCCTCTTCGGCGGACACCCCGGCTCCGATGCCGACCCTCCAGCTTCTGCGGAGCATCCTTGTCTGCTCCCCCCCACCCCACCCCTCTCCTCTGCGGCCCCACCACGGCCTCTATCTCCTCACCCTGCCGTCGGCATTCGCCCGCTCTGAGCCCCAGAAGCCAACGGCGGCCTTTGCATCTGCCAAAGGTTTCTGGTGCATTGATAGAAGCAACTTGACTTTCAGCAATGCCAAGTATTCAACTTGAGTATTTTTCTCTGCGGTGGTAGATTGGTGTGCACAGTGCTAACGTGTCTAATTTTTTCCTAAGTACCCTTGTTTCAAAGCGAAGTTGAGTTGTTTGTGTGTGAGGCGAATTGCGTGCTGTGCCTGCCTTAAGTGGATTGTATAACTACAGTATTTTATTTAGGTGGATGTTGCTAATGGTTCCAGCCAGTGTTATGGTAACTGAGCATCCCAGAGGCGAGGGAAGTGACTTACAAATGTAGTTCTACTGAGTAGGGATTTATTTAAAACAAACAAACAAAAAACAAAAACTACCTTGTACTTTTTATCCAGCAGGACCTCAAGGTATTTCGCATATATTAACTATTTTCTGTTCATTGTAATTTTATGAGCGGGGTAGGTAGAGAGCATTACCATCCCGCTTTACAGACCTAAAAACGAAGGAGAAGAGCCAAGTCCCGATTCTTTACTAACCTTAAAGGAATATGGACCAAGGGAGTTAACCCAGAGTTTCTTGGAATTTCTAGATCATAAGTCCACTCAGAAGTATAGTGCAGCGTTGGAACATCCTCCCTGAGGTTGTGCAGATCAATTAAAAATCAGAGGCTGGGGCCAGGCTTCAGCAACTTCATGCTAGGGACTCAGCTCTTTCACCAAGTGAAGTGATACTGGACAAGTCACAGCTGCTCTGGGTGTTTCCTGCTGTTTAAAATGAGGGGAACAAAGGTGCTATTTCCCTTGCGAAGTTGTCTGAGTGTGTTTGGAAGCTCCACAGACTTGAGCTGCATTTGGTGATTGTTGTTGTGGGCTCATAAAAGCCCTCCTTCTTGAGTTACTTTTAAAAACGCAGGAGCTCAGGCACCCCCAGAATGAATAACCGCCTCTCTTCACCAGAGATACCTGAGAACTCATGGCAGGGACCCCAACCTGGGTGAGGGAAGAGGGTTGCCTGGTGGAGAGGTAGGAAGAAGCCTTGCACAGGCGGCTTGACACATGGGCACTATTCCTGCCTCCAGCTCTGACTCATCTTCTGACGCTTGGGGGAGGAGAGATAGTTGCTTGATATTTTTGGCTTTCCCCCATAAAAGGGGAGATGGTTTCCTTCATTCCAAGTCTTTTTAACGTCAGTGTCAAATGTGTCTGTGCTGCGTTCTCATCTGAAATCTTTCATAGTGGTTGAATGCAGGTATGATTTCTATAATATCCTTTCATAGAATGCAAGTATGATTTCTATAATATCCTTTAATAATATTCTTTAGTATTTATATCATAAAAACTGGCCAGGTGTGTAACTCTGGGAAATCCTTTAAAACTTTAGCATAAAAACTAGCATTTTTAGATGATGGTCTTTAGGAAGGTGTCTGTGTTTGGTGGACGTCCTTTGTAATCGGAATTTTATTTTAAGGCAAAATGGATTAAAATTCTTTTTCTAAATATCACAAGAAATACCTTAATCATCTGTTGTGAAAACATTAAAACTTTACAGGTGAGGTTAAAGCCTTTTTTGAGCATCTTTCCCCAGAGCAGCTGCTGTGTGCATGTTTGTTGGGTTGTGTGTATCCTTTTAGATTTCTGTAAGCATTTTCATAAATGTCTTTGCACAAAGTGATTTTTTTAATCAAAATGAATTATTATAAGCTTAACTGGTCCTGTTCATAGTGATTTGATTTCTGTCTGGAACAGGTAGCATGTATTTAAATTAGACCTTGGTTGTAAAGTTTCATTAATTTTGATCTCATGGTAATATTTCTCTGGACAACAGCAAACAACCTCTTCTTAACTAACTTCAAAGCAGTTAAATCATTAAGATCCTAGGCATTCCTCTCAGTTGCAGATGAAACTTTACCTTTAGAAAGAAAGAAATCAATCTAGGACTACTGTGTATTCATCTTTTCTTTGCTTATAAGGAGGCATAAAAGGCAGTGGAAGGCAGGGCGAGTCACTAAAGCAACAGTGCCTGGGTATAAACTTACAGAGAGAACATTTAAGGTGGTAGCTTTAGTTATTTATGAAAGCTTCACTGGGGTGAAGACAAAGAAGGGAGAGTGTTAATTGGGCACAATTTAAATCAGGAATTTCAGGAGATGGGTGAGTTAAAACAAAATTCACACCAAGAGTTTATGGGTTTAAATGTTAGATATTTATTGAGGACTTTTGCAATGCTGAAGGTACCGTGCTAAATGCTGAGGTAGAAGGCGAATAAGGTCCCTGACCTCGTGTAGCTGACGGACTGACAGTGGCATTCGGAGAGGAAGTGCTCTTTCCCAAGATTAGCTAGAATTGTAATGGTTCTGAATTCCTGGAAATCAACATTGTAGTTATTTAACCTTTTTTTTTAAAAAAAATCTGAATTGTAACACACAGAAAAGGGTATGAAACATAAATGCGTAACTTACTTATTTTAAAGAAAACGTGATATAACCATCTTGCAGGTCAAGAAGTATCCTCATCACACTCTTTCCCAATGACAACCTGTTCCTTGCTCCAGAGGTAACCAAGCCAGTAACTAGCCTCATTTTGTGGAAATCATTTCCTTTCTTTTCTGTAGTTTTATACCCTAAATATTTCTCTGAACAGTGCAGTTTCACTTTGCCTGTTTTTTTACCTTTATGCAAATAGGATCAAAGTAGGAATTCTTTTTGTTGTTGTTTAGTTTTTATTTTATAATCATAAACTTAATTTTGCAATCTAGCTAGACTTGGAAAGGGTAAGGAAAATATGGAGCCCAATGAACTATAGCATTCTTTTAAATCCTTTTTTAAAAGCAATATTGGTGTGTGTGTATCTACACACACATAATTTTTTGTTTAAATTTTTGTAGCATTATATTTTTTAAAGTTCACCCATGTTACCTGTGACTATAATTAGTTTAATACCCTATGTGTGTGTATGTATATACAGCTATATATACACATATGCACACATGTTTTTGTTTTTAAATTCTTGCAGATATATAGATATAGATATATAAAAATATAGCTATAAATATCTATAGCTATAAATATATATAAAATGTATGGCAAGTTTTACTTTCAGAAATAAGACCACAAAACAACACAATCTAATTGAGTCTTAAAGGCTGGCATGCTGAGCAAGGAATGTTCTTATTCTTTCTAGAAGCTCCTCCTTTATACTGTCAGGTACTAGGGCTCTACCTTTTGGTGTGATTTCAGCCACCAAGTCATCAACAGTAACGTGTTCTAGTCCTTTTTCTTTAATTATCTCTTTATAATGTGTCTTCAGTTGATCCTTCCAGGCACATTCAATTAATTTAGCTCTCAGCAACTCTTTGAGGTGTTCTCTTTCTCCAGTTTCTATCACCTTTGGTTAATTGCTGCTCTGGTCTGCGCATCTTTGTTCATCTTGCTAACCACCATCACCACAGGTGACGGCTGTCCCTTCCCAGCGACGGAATGGCCCTTGCGCTGACGGCCATTACCTACCACACCCTGGGCTGCCCAGACTTGGACGCGCAGTAGCTCGGGTGCCTAAGCACACCAGTGTTACATATTTTTAATATTCATTCATGTTGTTACCTGTGGCTATAATTAGTTAATTTTTGTATGAACATACTGCAAGTTATCTATTTGTCATGGATGGACTCTGGGTTGTTTCTGGTCTGGTGCCGGGTCATAAGTCTGTGTATATCCAGCTTTACTAGCTGATGCCTATTTTCTGAAGTGGTTGTACCAATTTACATTCCTCCAGTGGTGTCAGCATTGAATTTATAATTCACTGTATTTGCTGTTTAACGACAATATTTTTACATATTTCTCTTTTTTTTTGCATTTTACTGATTTTTTAAGGAGATTTTATTTTATTTTTAAATGGATTTTATTTATTTTTAAAAAGATTTTATTTCTTTTTTAGAGAGAGGAAGGGAGGGAGAAAGAGAGGAAGAGAAACATTGATGTGTAAGAGAAATATCAATTGGTTGCCTCTCTCCTGCCCTCAAATGGGGACTTGGCTCGCAACCCCAGGAGTGTGCCCTGACTGGGAATCAACCAGTGACCTTTTGGTTTGCAGACTGGTGCTCAACCCACTGAGCAACACCAGCCAGGGTTGGGTTTTTTTTTCGTTTTTTGTTTTTTTTGTTTTTGTTTTTGGCATTTCTTAATTTGAGGGAGGGGTAGAGAGAGGGAGAGAGAGAATCAATTTGTTGTTCCACTTGTACATTATTGGTTTTCTTGCATGTACCCTGACCAGGGATTGAACCCACAGCCTTGGCATATTAAGATGACACACCAGCCAACTGAGCTACCTGGCCAGGGCCTGGGTATTTCTTGAAATGAATGAATACATGTCACCTATGTGGACTGATCCCTGGCCCTTCATGTACCATTGTATTTACATTTACATATGTTTAATTGTATCGTTTGGAAACATGCCACCCAAAGGCCAGAGATGGTTTTTCCACTGTTTAGTTGACAAATAGCCAATAGAACCTTTCCAGTGATCTTTTTTTTTAAAAAAAACAGACGTATAGAGAAATTTAAAT